TTTGAAATTTGATTGATTGTTGTCATGCTGCCTGGATGTTGTCGGTTGGTTGTGAATATGTTGGTTTGTGGTTCTGGGACTCCTCTACTTTTATATTGTTTACAGCCGAGTCGGCTGAATTTTTTTCACAGGGGGGGGTGATGTAGAGGAGTAGTGGAGAGTGGTGGCGTCGTGTGCGCTGTCCGGTGCGGTGACCTCACGGGACGTGGGGTCGCACGCGCTGGGCAGTGCACGTGACATCACCCCTCTGAGGGTATATAAGGGAGACCCCGTAACGTAAGCGGGGTCACTGGAGGAACGGGGATAGTGGAAGGGGTAAAGAGGGAACCAGGGATAGTGATAAGTGTTAATAAACCCTGGCGGAAGCCCCTAACTCAACCTCCGTCTCCGAGTACCTCCGTCTACGATACAACACAAGCATGACTGATCCAGCCGGGGGTCATTTGATTCCACACCAAGTCTCGCCGCCTTTATATACATATACATTGCAGGCTTATATCGCCGACAACCTTTTCCTGCAGGTGGGAATGTGTGGTGGTGTCCTTTTATATATATACATTGCCAGGTGGCAGTCCTTCACGAAAGCCTACGGATGTGATATTGGCGGCCAGTAAACAACACGTGGTTTAACCTACGTCATTAATTACAGCCCTTTGTCCTGCCACTGCTGGATGAATGCCCCCCCCCCCCTTCACCTCCCTCCCCACGCCGTATGGGGCCTGTTTGACCAAAACTCACGAAGCTGGTCAGCGTGGGTTGGTGAAGGGCAGAGGGCAGGCCCGGTTTGGATATCATTCGCCAACTTGATCGGAGCCTTCGCCACGGTCAGGAATTGGCATGGCCTGGAATCGAGCTCGAGTTCCCTCTGGGGGCCACAACGCAGCGCTCCATCACCACCAGCATCGCCGTTCAGAGTGACATCTCCAGCACGAAGTGGCATCTGGTGATGGGAATTCTTAATTCTCAAACAATATCGCGGTTTAAAAATATGGATTCGATGCATGATTTGGTGAAATGTGTTATAATCCGAGGCATTATTGACAACCACTCGATCCACAATCTTGGTGCCCGGTATCATCGGTGTACAAGGGAATAACAATTTCTGTACCGTTTCGTGTTAAAACACTGTTTATGATACCGTTTTCGTTAAAACATCCCTCAAGTGCGGGTAAGGACATGTTTTGCATATGTCAAGTGCTACACACGACCCGTATTGAGACGAACCAGTACGTTCCAGCCGTTTTCAAGCCCCCATTGTGACAAACAAAACCTCAATACTGATATCTACCGCAGGTTTTAAGCGGACTGGTTGGCATTGCAGTCGTCTGGTGTGACCCGTCGCTGTTATGGCCTTCGCCGCACACACACACACGCACACGCCTGCAAACTCGCTGTAAGACAGCAGCACCTGTGTAACTTTCTCCACATCGACACTTGAGGTGGTAAGATCATCATCATCATCATTGGCCATTGTCTTGTCAGCTCCATCCCTCTTGAGTGCGGCGATGCCACAGACTGTGTCAGTGCGGCTCGTAGAGCGATCGTATCGCTCGATCTCCGTGGCTGGTCGTTGTCTTTATGTGCGTTCTCTCCTTTGCCTGCCGTTCTGTCTCAAGTCTCGTCCACTGGCCATCATTCCTTCTAGCCCTGGCGTCTCCTGCCCAAGCACGTGCCTGATTTGTATTGGCTCACCGATCCATGAGTGTCTTTTTAATCTCTGCTGAAGTATTTTCTGATAGCTTTTTTTTACGTCTTTCAATACTGTATTAAACATTGTGCGTATTGTACAAGGCTATATCGGTTTGGTGTTTTTGGCCATTGTTCATTTAGTAACATGACAGGCCACTTGAGTTCATCCAAGTAGGATCAACACAGACCTATCATCATTGCTCTCATCATCAATTAATCTCAGCATCATCCACTCTGGGATCAGTAAGCTATGACCACAAATGATAGCTGAACGAAGTTGCTCATCATGTGTACATTTAAAGCAGCCAAACATTCTAAACGCATGTTTCTAAATATGGACGGAAAAACCGGAGGACCCAGAGAAAAATCCACACGACCACAGGGGGAAAACGTGCAAACTCAAATATAAAGACGTTGGGGTGGGCATCGAACCCATGTCTTCTTGTATACCAAGCGAGGTAGTTAACATCTCGCCGCCCAAACCCACCAACACCTAGTAAGACCGCAGAACTTGGTGGAAATTCATCAGAAATTGTTTACGATAAAATCAGTCTGCACCAAATCGTGTTGGATCACGGCGGGTAAGCTGGGTTGAGCCTGGTTAGTTCTCGGTTGGGAGACTGCCTCAGAATACCCAGTGTTTTAAGGCAAGGAGATGATGAATGTGCCAGCACAGCCATGGACTCTTGTTTCCATCTGTACAGAGCTGTGTTACCCACTGATGTGTTTGTGCGTGTTGTCTCTGAGTAAAATAATTTACTTCCATACGAAGCCAAGCGCTTATTCATGGATTTCAGCAAACGTCCCATGACAACAGAAACCTCCTGAAATCTTTTGTTTATAATTATTTTGGAAAACTCACCTGGCTAAATAGACCGTTGGTCTTATGCTGACATAAAAAAACCACACAAACAGACACAGACTGGTCTCCACCATGGCAATGTGGAATTTGGTTCAAGGAATAAGAGCACAGACTCTTTTGAATCACCGGGTGGACTTTGACCCCGAGACGTGGGGCTATCTTGAAGGGCATTGTGGAATGTGAAAGTGCTCTGATACACCCTTCACAACAACAACAACCGCCACTAAGTGGCGGTGACGTCCCCACGGCGCTGGTGCCAGGCTAGGTGCATGTTGACGTGCCTTTACAACAGAACACACACACACGCACGTTATGTGTGTGTGCACGGTTCATATGGATGGGAGCGGTGGCGCAGTGCTTAGCGCGCTGCACTCCGAATCTGGCGACGATTATCTTAACCGGTCCTGGGCTTCCCCTAAGTCGACTCAGCCTCAAACGAATACGAGGGGCTGGGCGGGGTGCTGGCCACCCACGGTTGCCCGTCGTAAGTGCTACTCGCTCACAGCAATTTGCACCACAAATGTTGTTGAGGCTCTACGGGATGGGGGGGGGGTCTAAGTCTAGGTGAGTGGAGCCACCTCCTGGCGGAGAGAGGTCTGAACGCGACACCGTCGCCAGCTGCGTCTTCCGCTCCAATCGTTTGCGGTCACGTTGAGAATCTAATACTGGTAGGAACCTCCTGGTTACACCAGCCCACAGGGGATTATTGTGTCCATCCGTCCGTCGTGAAGGGAGGGGCTGGGTGGGGAGGGAGGGGCTGGTTGGGGAAGGGCTGGGTGGGGATGGTGGGGCTGGGGAGGGGCTGGGTGGGGCTGGGTGGGGGGTGGGGAGGGGCTGGGTGGGGAGGGTGGGGCTGGGTGGGGTGGGGCTGGGTGGGGAGGGGCTGGTCACCCCGTGGTGCCCTTATAAAACTCAACGTTTAACCTATTCATGCCGGCTTGTGCCCGCCCTCACAGTCGGGCATATTTGCGGAATACACCACGCCGCCGTTGACCCTGGCCATTGACCGAGCAACCCAACGTTCCTACCAGCTCCCTCCGCAGGAATGTGTTCATACTGGAGAAATCCGATGAGCTGTGAAGCTCTACAGCTTTTGCCGTAATGTTCAGCAGACATCGTGCTGCTCGCAGCAGACATCGCGGGTATGCGCGATTTTCACCTGAAGACGGACGCTTGTGTTGCGTTCGAAACGTCGATTTATTTTGTTTTATTTCTACCTACGTGACTTTACCGAAATAACAAAAGAGTATGGAGTCCTGGCAGTCACGAAAACTTCAAATCAAGTTCAGAAATACATTTTCCGGAAGTAATCTTCCAGAAGTAATCTTCCAGAATAAGATTTCCGCGAGTTATCTTCCAGAAGATGTTTTTTCCCCCAGAATAATTCTTCCAGAAGTAATCTTCCAGAAGATGTCATCCAGAAGTTATCTTCCAGCAAATGTCTTCCAAAAGATTGTTTTTTCCAGAAGTTATCTTCCGGAAGATTTCGTCCAGAAGAAATCTTCCAGAAGATATCTTTCAGAAGGAGATTTCCGCGAGTTAACTTGCAGATGTTTTTTTCCCCAGAATAATTCTTCCAGAAGTTATCTTCCAGAAGTTATCTTCCAGAAGAAGTCATCCAGAATATGTCATCCAGAAGTTATCTTCCAGCAGATGTCTTCCTGAAAATGTTTTTTTCCCCCAGACGTTGTCTTCCAGATGATGTCTTCCAGAAGTAATTTTCCAGAAGAAATCTCCCAGAAGTAATCTTCCAGAAGTAATCTCCCAGAAGTAATCTTTCAGAAGTAATCTTCCAGAAGTAATCTCCCAGAAGTAATCTTCCAGAAGTAATCTTCCAGAAGTAATCTCCCAGAAGTTATCTTCCAGAAGTAATCTCCCAGAAGTAATTTTCCAGAAGTAATCTTCCACAAGTAATCTTCCAGAAGTAATCTTCCAGAAGTAATCTTCCAGAGGTAATCTTCCAGAAGTAATCTTCCAGAAGTAATCTTCCAGAAGTAATCTTCCAGAATATATCTTCCCGAAGAAATCTTCCAGAAGAGTTTTTTTTTATCAACGTTGTCTTCCAGAAGAAGTATTATTTGGTTCTTTCGGTTAAGTCACGTCTAAAGATTAAATAATAAATTAAATAATAGCATATTACGCCGTTTCGATTGCAACACAAGCAATCATCATCAGGCATAATTAAATAGCGACATAAAATCTAACCAGAAAACTATAGACAGACATATTAGTAGACAGATATCACCAAGATACATAGACGTGACTTAACCGAAAGAACCAAATAATAATTCCTGCAGTCACGAAAGTTCTAATATTAAGATTTATTCCAGAAGAATCTTCCCGAAGTTGTCTTCCAGAAGACATCTTCCAGAAGACGTCTTCCTTGGCGTTCATAAACCCCCCCCTCCTGCCCCCCATCTTCCGGTGGCGGTAGAGTGGGGAGGTCCGCGCGGTGCATTGATGTTGTTAGTGCCAGGGGCAAGTGCTGCCCGCTCGTGTTGGTGACCGGGGGTTGGCGGTGCCCACAACTCCTACTCTCGTAGACTTTAACACTTTAAACTCAAACCTTTTAGCGTCTTTAAAGTTTAATTAATACACCCGTCGCACCTTCACAGCCGCCGATGAAGGTCTTTGCAATTAGCGCTCATGTCTTCGTTTCGCCAACACGGTACGGCTGAGTCAACAACAACAACATCAACATCGTCATCATAATCACAGTATTGTTGTTGTTGTTTGTTGTTCTTGTTTTAGTATAATCAGTCGCCTGTCTCTGATCATTTGAATGCGCGTTTTAAGTAATCGCAGCGAGCGCGTGGTTACGAAGCTGTTGTGTTTTACAGTGCGTCGTCGGTCAGTCGTTGTGAAATTCCACATTCCGATGGCGGGAGCGTACTTTAACCTTGACACCTCCATCATCATCATCATCGCCAATCACGATGATCAATCAATTACTTCGTGCAGCGTCTGCGTCGATTGTTTAAATCACGCGTCATTAAGTCGGCGTGCAGTGTGTTACATTAAACATGTCAATGGAAGCCGGCGAACATTGAGAGACGTTAAGTTTGACCCAATGTAGAGATCACAGTGGGGTGGGTCCTATATGGGCAGTTACATGCAAATCTTAAGGCCGAGTGATACATTGAGTCAAGCTTCTTCAGTGCAGTACTTGGGGCTGATTTATACACGATGTCACAGTAATCAAGTAGAGGCAGTACGGTAGCTTTTATCAATTCCAAACGGAAGCAGCGCTTGTGTCGATACAGAAAACCAATTTTTATTTTTGTCTTTACCAATATAATCAATGTGATCTTCAAATTTGCAGCGTATGCGTCGATTGTCCCACTGTGTGCTTAAATCACGCGTTATTAAGTCGGCGTGCAGTGTGTTACATTAAACATGTAGATGTAACGCCAGGTGGCAGGTGTAGTTAGACATCGAGAAAGCAACGCGTGCGTTTGATTTACCTGCGCAGGCAACGCATATAGGTTTGGTGCGGACACTGTCGCCTGAAGGGCTTTTGATGGTCTATGGGCGAGACTAACAGCGGAGTGGAAGCCAAAGGAGGAGGAGGAGGGGGGAGGGAACGCGCCCAAGAGGACGTCGACCCGTGGAGATGGAGCAAATGAACGGGATGTTGATGGGCTTCGTGTGCGAAAGAGCAAGATTTTACTCTTTCGGTAAAGTCACGTAGGTAGAAAATCAAATAAATCATCATCAAGTGGGCTTTTCCATACCTGTCAACCCCTTCTCCCACCTGATGATGGACGCTTGTGTCGCGCCCGAAACGTCGTCATTTATTTTATTTTCTACCCACGTGACTTTACCGAAAGAACCAAAGAGTATGGATTCCTGCGGTTACGAACACTTCAGAGTTTAATATTTTGATTTAAAGCTTTCGTGGCTGCAGGGATTTATATTCTTGGTTCTTTCGGTAAAGTCACGTAGAAGGGAGATAATAAAATAATATAAATATAAAACAATAAGAATAAAAATTCTCACGACGTTTCGACTGCAACACAAGCAATCATCATCAGGTGTGAAATCCACAGCAAGAACATTTGAAAAAAGTTGTGGATTTCACATCTGATGATGATTGCTTGTGTTGCAGTCAAAACGTCCTGAGAAATTTTTTTGTTTTATATTATTTTATTATTTCCCTTCTACGTGACTTTACCGAAAGAACCAATAATATAGTAGTAGGTTTTTACCCTTTTAAACTGGTACAAAACTGACACCTTTATTCAAGGCATCATGTTTGCAATAACCACAACACAAGTAGTAAGAAAAGCAAACAAAAAGAAGCAACTCTGATAATGATAATAATATGCACTGTCCTTGAAGTTGATTGGTCCACACCCGAGACGGCTTTCTTTAGAGCCTAGTCCCCCATTGGTGTTGGACCAGATGACACCAGAAGGCGTACAACTCAAACACAGTGCAATATCAGAGTATTGAGAGCTCATAGTGTAAACCAAGAATATAGTTTAATATTTGTTCCGTCGCGAGCACCGTTGGTCAAAGGATGTGTGATTGTGTGCCTCGCCGGCTCTCGATCACCAGTAGGATGTGTGAAGCATGCCCACGAGGTGGCGGTAGTAGTCCAGGAGAAGGAGGATATCTATCGGGTGTGTGTGGAATTGCGTCTTAAAAGTTACCGACGAGACGATAAACCCTCACTTTAAACAAAAATATATGACCGTACAACCACGGTATGTACACCTACGACCGTACGAGCTATTCGGCGTGGCGGTAAACCTACATCACCATTGTCATACCTGTTAACCCCTTATCAGTGCTGCCTACAACATTTTTACAGACCAATTCAGACATTATTGGTTCACCCCGTGCTCCTTTAAAATCACAACTTCATCATACGAAGTCCCATCACAAGGGAGAAACACAAACAAATAGACAACACAAATGTTGATAATTGGGTTTGTACCCTTTTATCTGGCAACAAAACTGACACCTTTTTTACAAGGAGTCATGTTTGCATAGACCACAATACCTGCAGTCAGAATGCAAACAAAAATACAAAACTCTGATAATGTATGCACTGTCCTTGTAATTGATTGGTCCACACCCGAGACAGCTTTTATTAGAGCCTGGTCTCACATGGTGTTGGACCAGATGACGCCAAAAGGCGTACAAATGTTGCCCGTATTGAAACGGCTGTATGCCGTATGGACCTGAAAACTCAATTTCCGTGCACGAGAATAACGGGGTTAAACCGTGTGGGTCGACACGATATGCATCCTACTCGACGAACGCCACTTAAACCAATGCAGGATGGAGGCTCTCCCAAGCATCGTGTCGGTGTCAGATGTAGATTTCGCACAGTGCCCCCATATGTTTAGGCCACCTAAAAAAACAATAGGATGCTGTATCGGACACGGGTTGTTGTTTGACCATACTTCACCATCTGGTCAGTGCGGAATATTAAACTAAGGTCCCTGGGTTCATGGGGGCAATGAGCCAGAATCAGAATCTCTATCCTGGAGAAATCCGATAAGCTGTGAAGCTCTTTTTTCCCACAGATGTCTAGGGAGGAGCAGGTCAGAAAGTTACAAAGACAAAAAAAGCTACAACAACGAACACAAACCTCAAACCCCCGTAGACCACAAACACAACGTTTATTAAACCTGCTTACAGAATGCTTACGCATGCTTAGTGTACGTTACTACAATAATTAGATACACCAAGGTTTTTGCGGTAAAATTTTACTGTATCAATTTTAGCTGTGACGGTCCCACCTGAAGACGGAGACTTGTTGCCTCCGAAACGTCGTGATTTAATTGATTTATTTTCATGTATTTTTATTTTATTATTTTTTACCTACGTGACTTTACCGAAAAAACCTAAGAGTATGAATTCTTGCAGTCACGAAAGCTTCAAATCTTGAATAGATACAGCAACTTATAAACCATGACAATTCAAAGAGATGATAACATTGTTTAATCAGTCCACGTTGCTACAGCAATAACGGGCGTGAAAGCGCGTTTATTAACCTGCTTGCACGTGAAGTACCTTAGTCGTAACGAACACAAATAAATCGCACACTCTATATGAAACGCCACGTGTCAAACGTTGACTTAGGTTGTCATTCTAAATAGCAATCGGTAAAACGAGGAGAATCAATCGCTGGTGCTTTAGCCAAAGGCCCACGCGCAGTAAAGGGCCACTATTGAACCATGCGATCCATGCAAAAAAGACACTAAAACACAACTGTTCTTAACAATCCCGCGTATGTATTCCAAAAGTATTATGGTGAGCGGTGGTAAAATTGTACCATACACCGACCGACGTGCTTTGAGGTTTGCCTCATCTGTTAAACTGCCCTGCTCCGGGTCTGTCTTTGCGGGTCCCCGTATTGTGACCAGGGCCGCAAGTCACCCACGTAACTTTGTCGCTAAAGAGTCAAATTAAGGTTGTGACCACCTGTGTAAGATCTACCTGACGGATGAGACCGTGTTTGTAAGGCTGCACTGTCAAATGCTGGTAGCGAGTCTCAGAAACTGTACCACCCGACTGCAACTTTTAAGAGGACACGCTAAGGTCGAGGTCATTCGTGAACTTTGCTTTCGGGAACCAGAAGCATTAACAGCATTTACATTTTGACAAGATAGATCTTAGTGGCCGCAATTGCGCACACCTAAAAATATTCTGTGGCATTTCAATCACAATCGTCATCATAAGCCGTGATCATTCCACTTCTGGATGTGGATGAAAGTCTTCCCAAGATGTTGCCATCTCTCGTGGTCTTTGCGATGCAACCAGCCTGAGCCATGCAGGGCCATCACTTGAGTTTATTTCATGGCTCCATGTCCATGGGGGTTCTTCCTCTTGGCAGTCTGTGTTCCCGAAACTTGAAAACACCGCTCGTTCAAATCATATCCCCAACATTTTGGGTCAATAGAAGTGCAATTAAAATAGTGTCTCCCACCGATTGTGATTATATTTTAGAAAAAATTATTTGCTTAAAGAAAACAACAACAAAAGCTGGAAAGTGCACAAAGGAGTGGGTGTGTGTGTGGAGAGATTCATGCTTTGAATTACATTACGGGGACGGAAACATTAACATACCGAGATAACCATCTGAGGCATATGGCATCAAACAATTAAGAAAAGTTAGCGGGCTATGTGCCTTGCGCACGATACACGACTTTGAATGAAATGAACGGAGGAGTGAATGCATTCATTTACAAACAGCTATTACAATTAAAACGCCTCCCGGCAACTTCGCCTTACATCGGCACACAGCTTCATGACGCAAAGTTCCTTAATGTCAATGACGATGATTATGACGGCGATGTTGCAAATTATGGTGATGTTGCAAACGATGTTGGTGTTGATGTTTTAAATTGTTCGGTTTGATGATGAGTGGTGGCGCGGATGGAAATGACGAAAATTAATTTGGTGATGCTGGGTCATGATGGATGTTAACCATTTTGATTCTGATGTAAACATTTTTTTTGCCGATGGTGATGATGCAAACTCTGATAGTGTTCATTATGCAAATGATGCAGATGATGATGACGACGACAAGGATGCAGGCCAGAGGTCGCAACCGGGTACCCGATACCCGTACCCTACCCGATACCCGGCTGCCCGTACCCGGCCGGGTACGGGTACGGGTACCCGTTTGCGACCCTGGTGCGGCCGGGTACGGGTACGGGTAGACCGTGAGTCACTGGTGAGTAACTGTTTGTCACTCATATCCCAACGTCTTGTCTCTTCTCACAATTCAAGTTCCTAGAATCAACCCACCCGCGCCTGCAACATGGCTTCATCCCAGAGGTCGCAATCAGGTACCTGTACCCAGCCGGGTACGGTACGGGTACGGCCGGGAACGGGTACCCGTTTGCGACCCTGGTGCGGCCGGGTACGGGTAAGGAATCAAAACCCGTTTGCGACCTCTGATGCAGGCACAGGTGCAATGGCAGTGCATGGCAGGGCCTTAGGGTGGAGGAGGGAGAGCGTCGTGGGGGTAATGCACAGCTGTGAGAGGGGCACAGTCTCTGGGGGACTGTTTTGATTCGGCATTAGCTCCATGGGGGGTCTCGGGGGGGCTTTCGAATAAAGAGTTGAAAGCCTTCACATCCGGCCATTACCATAATCTGAGGTTATTGGGGGGGGGGAGGAGGGGGGGGTTTGGGCGGTGGTGTTGGGGGGGGTGGTGGTGGTTTCATCAGAAAACTAAAGGAATTTTGCCACCACGTTTCAGCGGTGTAGCTGTGCCACGGATGGTCATTTTTAGTTGTTCGTTTGGCGAAAACTAAAATTCGAAAGTGTTTTGCAAAAACGAGATTAAATATCGAGGCTGAATACATTTAACGCATCTTAAGCCGACTCCGTTGTGCATCGAGCCAAAGTTTTGTACTTGGGATTGTAAATCAGAAATGAATATTTAATTAGTACAAACTTTGGGAGCTCGAAGGGGTTATTCTTTGCCGTAAACTTCGGGTCATATGTGGGTTTGTGTGCGCACACGAATTCGTGCCAGTGCGCGCGAGTGTGTGCGCGTGCATATACTTGTGTGTGTTTGTATGTGGAAGTGGCCGGTTGCCCGGCAACGTTGTTAGCTGGACAAACCAACTTGTTGAGCACGCTGCGAAAACTTGTTCCGAACGATTTGTCGATTATGCGCAACTCCATTCGCCGCCGCTTCCACGCACCCGCCACCATTGTCCGCCGCCACGCCTCGTGCGTCGCCATGGCAGCCGGCGGCCCAACGCTGCCGTCGTGGCAACCGGGCAGCCCGGGCAAGGGATTGTGGGGGTTGAACTTTGACCTTACGACCTTGTGGTTTCATCCTGTGACGTTTCTGCCACACACCCCAAACTCTTGGCTAGGCAGTGCAGTTTTTTCACTCTGGTTGGGATCTAGATGAACTCCTTGAAAAAAAAAATAAGAATTGCTATTGTGTCTTGCGAGAAATGTTGTTCGACGGATGCTGCAGCGGCAGCATGCGTGCAATTGTTTACTGTCGAACTTTAGTGCACTTTGGTTGCGAAATTTTATTGTTACCAGATCATATCTGGTGATTCGGCCAATTTGCAGTGGTGCCCAATTGCAAATATCAAACAAAAACATTGACGTATGTGGTAAGTGTTGTTATTAGGTGTTTTCGTGTGTGAAAGTACCATTGCAAGCTACGCTGGCAAACTTTATTGCAACTTTGATGGTATAAGGTAACCAATTGGTGATCTATGCCCTCATTTAAATTTGATTAAATATCACCCAGGAACCATTTTATTTGGGCCTTCGATGAAATAATCGAAGTTACAGTTTGACTCTTTGATGGCAGACACGTCGACGCAATGTGTAATTCTCTAAACTCACGATTAAATAAAGCAGTCACCCATTGTGAGACTTAGCCTTAATAATCAGTGACTAAGTTTATTGCTTAATAACCATTAATCATCCGGGTGCTACACTGCGCCGGTCCTGCCTTCTAAAGTCGCACCAGTTGTGGGAATCGCGCAATTAACTTTCCTCACATTGTCAACCGCGAGTTGACGTGCCATCACCATCTTAGTCAACAACCCACAACGCGGGCCGTCATTTAGCCCAGCTGAGACCCCGTCACCGTCGTAGGTGCACGATAAGGCGATTTGCCAGGTTGGTTCGTTGGTCGTTTTGCTCGAGCTGACCAAGGTGCGACTTGTGAGAGATCCACAACCGTGTAGCGACGGCCAGATTGGGGGAAGGGCAGGGCCGGTCGCGTCCCCCATTACATGCCGGGCACATCCCCAGCTCCTGCCGCCGCCCGTTGTCCTCGTGTCCTTGATTGATGCTCCGAGTGTCAAACAGCGGCTCTGGGAATAAATAAAAAGAAAGCCGGGGTCGTGGAGACAATGAATTGAGCGGCATTTGAACTTCAAACATTTACCCCCTCGCACGCCACCCCCCACAACATCTACACACCCACCCAGCCCGACCCATCGACCGACTGACCCACCCATCCACCCACCCACACACGCATCGACCGACTGACCCACCCACCCGCCCACCCCTTCCTCGTACCCATGGACAGCAAAAAGGGTTTGAAAGGCATTTGTCCAAAGAATTTGCCATCTTTGAAGAAGCACATCTGATTTTGCGATTGGTGGTGCGTATCCTCCTGACTTAATCTGAAAGCCTTTTGTGTGGGAATATTCATTCACTTTGAAATGTTGTGGCCGTGGTATTTTTCGTGGATGCTTGTCGCGTTCTGTTATAAACATCGGCGCTATCTCAATATATGCGCGCGGCTGCCCTTCTCTGGAGTTTTGTTGTTTGTGAGTAGCTGAACGTAAGGAGAATTGATGTTCCCATGTTTCCACGCTATTTTCAAATTACATTGCGTGCTGATGAAATCGGGTTTCTCACGAAGAGCGATTGAATTTATCCCGGCTTCGCTGCACTTTTTCGTGGCACACCAACCTTAACTGCAGGTGGTGGGCCCAAAATTGTGTTTAAGTTTCGCTTTGAAATTCAATTCAAGAAACGCTCTGCGCCGCAGCATCGTCAATCTCACTCAAGTTAAACATAAGCACAAAAAAGACCCAGTACACCTCACCACAGCTGTCGTTAACATCTTTTTTTTATTGGAAGAAGTGTTGTCCAACTTGTTAGCCTACTGTATGGTTTCTGTTATACAGCAGTGTTAATGTGGGCGTTGATGAGTTATTTTTGGTTTCATAAACCATGATAAATCTGCTGCTAAATGAAGGTCTCGCCAAGGAATTGCCTTCTCTCGCAGTCCTGTGATGCAACCTTTTTGGGGTGCCACGGTGGCGAGATGTTAACTACCTCGCCTGGTATGCAGGAGGTCGTGAGTTCGATCCCGACCCTGACGCCTGTTGTATATTTGGAGTTTGCGTGTCTCCCCGTGGTCGCGTGGATTTGTCTCCGGGTCCTCCGGTTTTTCCTCCACATTTATAAACATGCATTTCGAGTATTTGGCTACAATATATTCCTACTTGATAAGCCACTTTGTTGAGTGATCAATTGTGGCCAGGTCACTTCTGAAAAAGAGCTATATAGCCGAGTGGGCCTTACCTGGTAAAATAAACATAGTTTAGCTTCATAGTTGAGTTTATTTGTAAGTCTCATTATTTGCGCTTAACAAAGGGAAACGTTAGCAGACAAATTGGGAGTCCTATGGAGGTTCACTCTTCCCAAAATAGCATGAAGAAGTTGTCACACTAGCTCCAGTTAAGTGTACACCTGGAGCCATTCTCTAAAGGCACACCACACCATGCAGATCATGGGGCTAATTTGACCTTACTTCACCACTCTGGTTAGTGTGGGCTGGGGAAGGTGGGGAGCATAAACATTGGAGCATAGAAGTGCGTACAGCAAGCAATGGATTTGGCTGCACTGCCCTCTGTTGACAACATAACTAGTTGTTAACATCCCGCATTATTGCAATGAAGACCAATTGCAGTGCATTTGCAAGTTGCAATGTTACGTGGATTGCTTGTTATGTTATGAACACTTTAAAACATAAAGGGACCAAAAACACTGCACTGACACCACCGAAAATCGCAAGCCAATTCTTGAATGCACAATCCAGCATTAGTTGCCGTATAGTACAGTACTAAACTAGGACTGCCATTCGCGTGACGTTTCTGTGCAGCTTGGAGACACCGCTAACAACAAGTCCGCATTGCCATTACTTTGCACACTGAGACGTTTTTGAACTTTTGGGAGCGCAGATTTTTTTTCCCTTAATTTTTTAAGCCACCTAAAATAAATGTACCATCGTAAACATTGTACAGATCTCACCGGCGCTGACTGTGCGTGTGTATGTATGTCGAACTTCTTTCGCACGGTACGTAGCCAACCGTGCTAATCGGAGGTGCCATTTGTGTGTTTGCGCACCACGTGTCCGTGCAGGTGGTGTGGCGGTGCGTCAGGCCACGCGCAAGCTGTCTGCGCGGCCCACGCTTGGCAAGGCAGAGCAGCCGAACCCCATGAAGAAGCCGCAGGCATTGCCCGAGAGGAACGCGGCGGCGGTGGCGGCGGCGGCTGCGGCAGTGGCGGCGGCGAAGGTATCGGCGCCGGCGAGGACAGAGGTCAGGGGCGGCCCCCGGCCCGCTGGTGGCACGGCGGCGACGCGCTCGGAGAGCTCGCTGACCCGTGCGCTGGGCCGACTTGCCATCACCAAGACCACGCTGCCGACGCGGTATGATTCCCGGCCACGGCTAATGCCGGTGTCAAGCGGTATCTGAACCAGTCCAGGGCTCGCCCCCCATTCACCGACACGCATTGGTCCCGCGCCTCTAATTGCCGCGGTTTGCTATGTGTGGTGCGAGAGAAGTTCAACGTGCATACACACACGACCAGTGTGGTGCAGTATGGTCAAACATCCCCCACGTCCTGTATAGCAGACACATGAGGGATCTACATGTAAGTTCTGCCGGATGACTTTTGGCACGTAGTACGCCGATTCAGATGTCGGTGAAAGTTCACTTTTGGTAAAGATGTGCCCATGTCTCCATCACCAGCAAATGTGTCATTTCACCGCGGCACGCTGTTTCGATTGCTGAACTCGAGGTATGAATCCAACCCACATTCTCGTCATCTCCGTAACTCAACACAAGCCATTGGGCAGCGCTCACCTCTGTTTGCGATCCTGAGGTCGTCATGGGAAATTCCACATTCCCCATGGCACTGGGATGGCAATCTGTAGGTAAGTCGACTCACCACAAAATGGCACTCGTTTTGTTTATCCTGGATAGATTATGAGCTAGGCCACCCTCCCAACAGGGATTTGAACTGCTGACCTTTAGGTTTCGAGTATGTCGCTCAACCACAGCGCCCTCTGGCCAGCATGCACACGCCATGGACTATTTTAATACCTCTGACCGGCCAGTTTGGTATACTTGAGTTTAAGTCACCTATAAGTGTGAGCAAGTAACGGAAGTGCCGTGTGTGCAGACCCACCTAAAAAAAAGCATTTAAAATCCTCCTAAAAGCGATTCAGTATTCCATTGGTAGCTCTTTCAGATGCACTTTTTACAGTCGATTATTTCGGTGCCAGCTCTAAATCTTTTGCTCCGATTTCTGGGCGCTGCCCACTTCGTCCAGCGGTAGTCGTAGTTTAGTGTGCGACGCGCAGAGCGTTTAACGCCAATGCGTGCGCGTGTGTGTGTGTGAGTGAGTGCGTGAGAGTGGGGAGAGGAAGTGTGGTGGCGGTTAGCGTGCCGCACTTCGAACCCGGTGACCCGAGTTCCATTCCCGCTCACGGCCAACACCAGTGACGATTCTCAGAAACGGTCCTGGGCCTCCCCTAGGTCGGCTCAGCCTAAAATGAGTACCTGGTGCAGTGTGTAAACATCGCAACAGGGGAGACAAAGGCGGCCGGGCGTGGTGCTGGCAACCCACCCCGTTCTGTGGCCTGCTGGCCTAACAGCACTTGCCCCAACAGTCCGTTGAGACTATACGGAGGATCTTTGTCTTTGTGCGTGAGAGGGAGAGTGAGAGCAAGAGTGTGTGTGTGTGCGCGCAAGAAAAAGGGGAGGTAGAATTCCTCATTTCCTAGTGTCTGGCCTCCCCGGTGGTCAGTTTAATAAACCGAGGCATTGTTGTGGTGCCTGATGAATGGATTACTTACAGAAGCCCTGTCAGCCTGCGACAGTGTAGGGATGAATGTGAAGATATATCGGGGAGGAGCCTGGGGGGGGGGGTGTGTGAGCCGCACGGGGGGGGGGGGGGGTGGAGGAGCCAAGGCATTGTTAGGCCACTGTAGAAAATCTGTGCTGTGGGAGCTCTGGAGGTGGTGGGAGAGGTGGGGAAGGGGGGGATAAAGAAGAGGGGGGTGGATGCTTGATGAACATCATGTCGAGATGCCAGCGGAAAGTCCTGCAACTGTGGCATCTTCATGCGCTCATTGTTTTGTCGTCGCGCACCGACCGCGACTGAAGGTTTTCCTTTGCGGTGCAGAATAATGATTTTACTCTCTTTAACGGTATCCTGCCCCCAGTGATCTGACGAATTTTTTTATGATTCGGGAATCACGATTCGATAATAAAAGGAATATCTTAACAATATTGTTTTTGGTGAACCTGGTGCTGTGTTTGACAGTGGTGCACAAGCGCAAATAATATAACTAAACACGAGTCAAATAAAACTGTCTTAAAAGTATATTATTGCAGAGGTTTCGGGCAGTGAGCCCTTCTTCACAGCAATTCGGGAGGCCTCTCCGTGCGATGCGTTGGCGTTGCTTCGTGTTTTGTTCTGCCTCGTGTTGTGCAGTTTTGTTCTAAGTGTAACATTTGGTGGACTGTTTTGCATACAGTTTGCATGAATCACAAATGATAGGTTCTCACACGACTCGATTGCATAATCGATTCACATACACAGTTACAAACTGAGGTAGGCGTCAGTGCATAAAAAAATTTAATCGGTGCAATAATTTCGTCGTTCCATGCCTTGTACATCGGTAACTTCCTAAAATAAAATGGATATTTAAAAGTATGAAACTAAACATTTGATAAAAAATGTAACAAATTACTTTTACAACAGTAATAATTGAATAAAAAAAATGCACAATATACAACAAAGACGGTCACTGCATTGCGCGCTTTCAAAATGCGCTTCTGCGGCCGTCTGGAACGCTCTTCCTTCTGATATTAGGAAGCCGCTGGAGCTATGCACTTTTAAATCTAGATTCAAAACTAATTTCTTTACAACTCCTTTTAATGTTTAGTTTGTTGTCCTTCCCCGCACCTCCAATTAGCACAGTTGATTACGTACGGTGCGAAAGAAGTTCAGAATACATACAACAATGTTAAACTCAATCAAATTTACTCTAACATACATTTGCTCGGTCAAATAACTTTTTTTTTTTACCTAATGTGCTATTTCACCTGACCCACTGACCGTGCCGTTTAGAGCCGTGACCCACTGCCTGATGAACTGTACTGTGATCGCCATGTGGCCGTCAGCAGCACCAGGCCCTTCTCCACGTCGTCGCATCGGCGTGACGGTGCCGCGGGGGGCGGCAGGAAGATCGAGACGCTGGAGGACGTGGCGCGCCTCATCCGAGACGGGCACTGCAAGAACATCGTGCTCATGGCCGGCGCCGGATTGAGCACCGCCAGCGGAATCCCCGACTTCCGGTGAGTGGGGAAGGATCGTCGCTTTGCCGCGTCGTGGTTTTTTTCATGAATAGCGACGGTTCTGGATGGGGGAAATGATTTTTGAGTATGGATTCGTCTGTGCGATTTATTTGATCGTATGCTTATTTCGCGATTGATTTTTATTTTGCATTGTTTGTACAGATTTTTTTAATTGCGTTAGCTTTAACGTAAGATTAGCGTACGAGTTACATTCTGAATAAGCAATTCTCAAAACCACGATTAGGTACATGTTTCCTTGAGTGTAAAAAAAACTATTTCAATTCGTAAAAAAAAAAAAATATTCAATGCTACTTCATTGAAAGAATGGCTTTACATGCATAACTTTGTGTTAATCGTGTGTTTTGGCCAAACACAATTGGTCGTGTTATTCGCCGCGCGCTTACTCTCCACTAAATCCCACGTGTACAGTGCCCGGACAGAGGCTATTCACCTCGCCACGCCACGCGCAACACTGGCTTTACACTTCTCCTGGCTTAGCCGCAATCACCGGCCATGACGGGGAAAGTTTTTCATTTTATTATTTAGCCTTCCACCGTTTCTCCCTTTAACCACCACCCCCGCCCCCAACCACCGCACACACATCGCTCCTTCTCGTCCCTTCATATGCAGATGCAGCTCGCCCACCGTTCTGAATGCAAAATGCACCAGGGCAAGCCGTTTAACGGATTATTTAATTAGGCCCCAAACGCAGGGGATTTTTGGGCCGGTGTCTAAATAGCCGGGCGTTGCACAAAGGCCCGGCGGGGGCAGGCAGCGAGGGTGTTTATTACCGGAGTGTTTGCGCTGGTGCCGTTTGTCATTGGGCTGCTGCAAAAGGGGTTCACCGGGGGCCGTCGTGTTTGGGGGGGGGGGGGGGTAGAGCGAGGATCGGGGTTGGTGCCTGGGCACCCCCTTTCACTTTTCCCTTGCACACACCGCCCCCCCCCCCCACTCCTCCCGTGTGCCGCCTTTTCTTTGGGCCGCTTTTTTTTTGCTCGCTCGCTCCGACTCTAAGGGAGAGTACGCGGCCCGTCGCGGCTTGGGCAAATAGCAACAGCTTCGCGACAGAGTATCCGACGAGTGATGGAGCCGGCCGTGTGTGTGTGTGCGTGGGGGTCCTGTTAAGTGAGCAGTAATTTTCGTTTGTGCGTGCGTGCGCGCTTTTGCGGGGTCGTGTGAATCTCGAGACGGATACATTTGCGGCGGCTTAAAATATTTAAGCAACCCCTCCTCTGCCCTCTCCACCCCCCCACTGCCCCCCCACCCCACTGCCCCCCCCCCCACTCATGAACTCCCATCTCCTTGGACAGGTCCTCACCAACTTAAAGGCTCGCGAACGGGCCAGATGATAAGTGGCCGTGTTACAATGTGACGTGTGCCACTTTTGCAGCGACCCAGTCGCAGTCACTTAGTTTTTACATCATTTGAGTTTGCATTTAATAGGTGCTACATCACGGTTTAGTTAAATTATAATTTTACAATCCATGAAACGCTCTCATAAGTCTCAATAGTTTTATTCAGGATGTTCCTATGTTGAGATGTACGGCCTTGTTGGTTAATGAAGTAGATTGTACCTGGGAAAAACCCACACTTAATAATAATGCCCGATCCAGGAAAGCCTTGAGGTTTTTTTTACTTGCAAGAGGATCCTGCAGCGGGATATTTGGCCAATGGGATATGTTTGGCATGTGGGGAAGGAAGCTGGAGAACGCAGAATAAAAGCCCATGTGTGTGCGAGGAAAACGCTCGTGCCTCCGCACAGATAAGTTCAATCCACAGATGGAACCAGCACATTGAATTATCTGTGGACTGAACTTCATGGCTGTACTGCCATCTCTTGGCCACCTCACAGCCCACTTCTCATACAAAGTGGCAATTTGCCGATCGTCTATGCCCTACACAAACACAGACAACTTACGATGTAACTGGTCCATAAGAGGATTTTTTTTGGGTTAGATCGCGTAAATACAAATGTGTCGTTAAACCCGCCAACACCCGACACGGCCAATTAGTAAGGTTTGTTACGTAAACAGAATAAGGCAATTCGTTACTAGTACAGCACACCGGTGTGTTGGAGAGTAAACCCACAACATTTACAATTCGAGTACGACGTTTCGCCAATAATGACAACCAGCATCATCAGGCGACAGTCCAATTCATATTTACGCGATCTCACCCAAAATGAAACCCCTCTATTATGGATAATATTGATCACGAAAGCCTACGTGTTAAACAAATGTAACTGGTATTGCCACAATATCCCAATGCTGGAAAATGACCTGCACAGCACTCAGTTGGGATGACACATAACACAGCAACATCACCGCTTCCTCCCCCCACTACAGCGACTTGGCAGGGGGGGGGGGACCCCCTTCTGAAAATGTTTCTCGAGACTTGGTGAAGCTTTTCCTTGTAAACAAAATTAACGAGAAGAATAATAGTAGAAAACAATGTTATCCCCCCCCCCCCCCTTTCTCTTCCCGCGTCTATTAAAACTTTTTGTTCTGCCAGGTAAGGCCCACTCACCTATGTAGCTCTTTTTCAGAAGCAACCTGGCCACAAATGATAGCTGAACGAAGTGGCTTATCAAGAGGAAATGTATTTCAGCTAAATATTCGAAAACACACGCTTATAAATGTGGCGGAAAAACTGGAGGACACGGAGAAAAATCCACGTGACTACAGGGAGAACATGCAAAACTCCAAATAAACAGACGTCAGGGTTGGGATCGAACCCACGACCTTCTGCATACCAGGCGAGGTAATTAACATCCCGCCGTCCGTCTGTGCGTAGGACGCCAGGCACGGGGCTCTACGACAACCTGCAGCGCTACAAGCTGCCCTTCCCTGAGGCCGTGTTCGACCTCGACTTCTTTGCCGTCGACCCGAAGCCTTTCTTCACTCTGGCGCAGGAGCTGTACCCCGGCAACTGCCGCCCCAACGAGGCGCACTACTTTGCGCGCCTGTTGCACGAGCGCCGTCTGCTCCTGCGCCTCTACACGCAGAACATCGACGGCCTGGAGAGACGTGAGGGAGCCGCGGTTTCATTGGGGGGTGCTCGATGGGCGTGCAACGATGCGTCGATCCGTCGATTTTTAGGTCTGATTGCCCCGATATCCCGATTGTGCCGGAGGTTGGCATGTCCTGTCATCTTGGCAACTGTTAAGAAAACCCAGTGGGCTTGGGTAGAACAATTCGCAAGAAGGCACGGTGGCCGATGGTCGATACTGGTGATAGCGGCCTCTAAAATGAGGGAATGCGCCTGCCAGCACGTCGACTATGGAGATTGAGCGATGAATTCAGCTCGTGTGCACTGCTAGATCGATCGCTGCGTCGCGAGACAGTGACGGACGGCAGCGATTTGTGGCAAGGTCTTCATGCCGCAGTGGATAAGACCATGGCCGACGATAATGACGGCATCTCTCTGTATTTCCACGCAAACTCCTTTCGTCCTCACAGCAGCTTTTGGCTAGGCCATCGAATAAAGACAGTCACTGCATCGCGTGCTTTCAGATGCGCTTCTGCGGTCATCTGGAAGACTCTACCTTCCGATATTAGGAAGCCACTGGAGCTATGTACTTTTAAATATGGATTGAAAACGAATTCTTTAGAACTGCTTTTCGTGTTTTGTTTGTCGTCCTTCCCCCCGCACCTCCGATTAGCACGGTTGGCTACGTACGTACTTATGTTGAACGTCTTTCGCACCGTACGTAGCCAACCGTAACAATCGGAGGCAAGAAAGAAGTTTAACATACATGCGTAACGTTCGAAAGAAGTTCAACGTACACACACACGTGTGCTGCGGTGCGATAGTGGCGGGACTGCCGCCGGACATGCTGGTGGAGGCGCACGGGACGTTCGCCAGCGCCACCTGCACGCAGTGCCGCAAGCCGCAGCCGGGAGACCAAGTGCGGGTAGGAACTCCGACCGCTGTCATCGCCTCCGACGTGTGTCCTCGTCCGTTTACGTGCAAGGGAAATAGGCACCTTATTTGAGTTTGATGTTTCCGTAACTTAATTGTAATTGCACAACAAGCGGTCTAAAAATAATCTTCACGAGTCGACGCGTTCTACGGGATAATCCTACAAATTACTTTTACTGCAATTGAATCATGTTCATAGATGATCAAATTGTGCATATAAGAATCGGTTAATTTTTAATATATGCAAATCGTATGCAAACCGCACCTACGATTAGCATGGTTGGCTACGTACGGTGCGAAAGAAGGTCAGCATACAGACAGACATACAAATCGTATGCCCAGCAGTTCTTCATAAAACAAGGCAACAACAAATAAATGGGAAAAGACACGGCGAGAAATTAATTGAATTGTGACCCCGAACAAGCGATATTAATTGATATCTTTGGTTTTTTCGGTAAAGTCACGTAGGTAAGAAAAGGAAAATAAATCACTGTATCAAGGTAATTTTGTTGTGACGGTTCCACCTGAAGACGGAGGCTTGTGTTGCCTCTGAAACGTCGTGATTTATATTATTTTCCTTTTCTTACCTACGTGACTTTACCGAAAAAACCAAAGAGTATGGACCCTTGCACTCACGCAAACTTCAAATCTATAATGAATCGATATCGCCGAGACGGTGACTCGTAACATGCCGAGTAGCAAGCAGGTCTACGTTCGCAAGGCTGTGCTGCTCTAATTCACTGCTCAATAGATGGCGTTCTTATTATCATCTTGAACAAATAGCGGCACAAGTAAAGAGAGCCTTGAAGCTGGTGCAAGACAGGAGCAGGTGGTCTCATTCGGAGCGGTGAGGCATTGGGGAGCGCACTGCGCTTGTAGACTCCGCAAACCGTCTTTGATTCTCGGCCATGGCTAAAAACTGTGGCAAGCGAAACCTGAACCAGTCCTGGTGCATCACCTTCACCAGCGTGGTGAAGTATGGACGAAACAATCCCACGACCCACATGGCATGGGGAGGCTTTCATCCACCAGCGGATTGACGAAGGCTATATACAAACAAAAAATTGCCCAGATCTCAACTCGCTCACTTGGTGTACAGGAGGTCGTGGGTTCAATCTCGACCTTGACGCCTGTATATTTGGAGTTTGCATGTCTCCCCGTGGTCCCGTGTATTTGTCCCCGGGTCCTCCGGTTTTTCCTCCACGTTGAGAAACGTGCTTTTAGAGTATTTGGCTTCTATAAATTTCAACATGATGAGCTATCATTTATGGCCAGGTCACTTCTGAAAAGAGCTGCATAGCTCAGCGGGCCTTATTTGATCAAATAAAGATGTAGTTTAGTTTATACATTTCTCTTTGATGTGCATTGCTTACGTTTGACCGTGCATCCACGCGATATTATTTGACTTCTGTATATTTTGTTTACTTCTCTCCCAGCGCACCGTCATGAGCGGCAAGATCCCCCACTGCGGCGCGTGTTCCGCCGTCGTCAAGCCCGACATCGTGTTTTTTGGCGAGGACCTTCCCAGGCGCTTTTACGCCTACGACCAGGACTTCTCCATGGCCGACCTGCTCATCGTCATCGGCACCTCGCTGGAGGTGAAGTCGTCGTCTTCGGCGGTCGCGGTCGTTGGCCCGCTTCGCACCTATCCCGCCGAGTCGCCGTGTCGCTCACGAATTACATCACGCTTGCACGGCACTGTCGGCGCAGCGTTACCAAAGTGAGCCATTTGTCATGCAGCAAACTTGGAGAGAGGAGGGGACCCTGTGACGTACGTAGCCAACCGTGCTCATCGGATGTGGGCTATACGATTTGGGAGGGCCATTGCTCACTTGGCAAACTTGTCATTGTGCAAATGAGCAAGGCGAGGTGCGTGCTAAGAATTCCACCAAGAGGTAGGAAGAAGAACACATGGATGAGAGAGGGACCTCTGGTAAAAGAGCTTCGTTTGAGGGGCTTTACACGGAGGGGTCGTTGAGTTTGGCTGTCGGGACTTGGGAATGGGAAAGGATTTTGCTTTAGGGTGCTGCCAGGAGGCACCCTTTAGGAAGTGAGCTCACATGGGGGGGGGTATAGGGGTCAGAAGAAGACCCCCAGGGAGTTGGCAGCAAAGGGGTGCAAAGCTGCTATGTGCCATCTTGGTGTGTGCTGCTCCTCGCCTGACTTCCCATTAGTGGTAGTGGTAGTGTCAGCGTTTCGCTCATTGCGCTACGAACCTGGCAACCCGAGTTTGATTGCCGCTCATGGCCAACACCAGTGACGAATATCTGAAGTAGTCCAGGGCCTCCCCTAGGTCGACTCAGCTTAAATTGAGTACCCAGTGCGATGCGTAAAAACTTTGCCACTTGGGCGACAAAAGCGGCCAGGCGTGGTGCTGGCGACCCACCCCCTCGTGTGCCATTCCAGCCTTCCTAGGCACCTGCTAACAGCACTGGCCCCAACCGTCCGTTCAGGCTACACGGGGGGGGGGGGATCTTTGCCTTTTGTTTGCGGCGTGCGCAGGTGATGCCGTTCGCGGGTCTGGTCAGCGCGGTGCGTCCCGGTGTGCCGCGGCTGCTGCTGAACCGCGAGGCGGTGGGCCTCTTCCGCCGCGCCGCCTCTTCCCCGACGGACGTGGCGCACTTGGACGACGTGGTGGCTGGCGTGCGGCGACTCACAAACCTCCTGGGCTGGGACGCCGAGCTGGATCGTCTCATCGCCACTGAGAGCAAACTCGTGAGTTTACAACGACGGCAACAGCAATGGTAACGTCGTGGTTGAAGGTTAAGGCGCAGCAATGCAGTTTGTTGCTCATGGCCGCTGCCGGCAGAAAAGTCTCCACGACAGGGAGACCTCTGCAGAGCCCCTTGATAAGGTTAGTTCATATATTATTGGTTCTTTCGGTAAAGTCACGTAGAAGGGAAATAAATTCTTTTTTTTTATCAAAAAATTAAAAATATTTCCCTTCTACGTGACTTTACCGAAAGATCCAAGAATATGAATCCCTGCAGTCCTGAAAGCTTTAAATAAAAAAAGGTTAGTTAAGCCTACTCTTTTAAGATAGCCACACATTCCCAGACTCACTTTCAGGAACGTCCTATACAATTATAGTGTTTTGGCCAATTGGCTTTGAATGAGTGTTTTGCTTTGTTGAGAATGAAACCTTAGAACCCAGATAAGCCAACAGAGCATACGTGGGCATAACACTCAAAGGTTCACATAGACACGTACATACCAACGTCTTTCCATACGGATGGAATTCCCCAAAAACCCTTTTCGCAGTCGGTGCCCCCGCAAAAATCATCCATCCTCTGAGCCCTTTATTCAGCTCCCTTTATGTTTCTGCAGTGGAGCAACGGCCGCATACAGCGTCTCTCTGCAGGCCGTCCGCTCGGATGACACTGAAACGCGTGGGCTTTTTTGTGCGCAAGCACGGCGAGGCTTATCAAAGATGCTTAAAATAGATTTCCCGTGCAAGTGTGTGTGCGCGCGTGTGTGTCTTTGAAGTGGTGGGGAGCGGTGGTGTAGTAGTCAGTGCGCTGCGCTATGAACCCGGCGACTCGAGTTCGATTGCCGCCCACGGCCAACACCGGTGATGATTATCTGAACCTGGTCATGGGGCCTCCCCTAGGTCGACTCAGCTTCAAATGAGTACCTGGTGTGGTGTGTAAACATCACCACTAGGGAGACAAAGGCGGCCGGGCATGGTGTTGGCCACCCACCCCCTCATGTGCCGTGCCGGTCTTCATAGGTGCTCGCTAACAGCACTTGCCCCAACAATCTGGGCAGGCTATTCGGGGGATCTTTGTCTTTGCTTGTTTGAAATGCAACGCCGTTTTTCATTAGTATCGTCAATAATCTGACATGATCATTCGCTGTAAAACATAATAACAATGCTCGCCTTGATGAAAGCTCGACGTGCGACAATCCGTCGATTGTTGAACTTAAGGTACGCGCATTGAGTTGGCCATGTAAGCGCTGTGTTTTGAATTTATATTAATTGCATACCCCAATCCGATGACCAAATCGTCAGATCTCGACAATTGAGCATGGGTTGAGCTTGGATGGGCAACCACCATGCATGCCAGGTTGTCAACAACGGCATCTGCGGGATTTTGCAACAATGCGGGCAGCAGAGGGCAGTGCACCAAATGCATTGCTATATTTGCTTCTATACTGTCTTTTCGATTTAAAGCATTCGTGACTGCAGGGATTCATCTTCTTGGTTCTTTCGGTAAAGTCACGTAGAAGGGAAATAATAAAAGACGCTGTCTGTCTTTCCGACAGACCTGTTCTTCACCTGAGGACGGCTGCTTGCGTTGTGGCCGAAACGTCGTGAGAATTATTTTATTATGTTTTATTTTTATTATTTTATTATTTTCCTTCTATGTGACTTTACCGAAAGAACCAAGAAGATCTATACTGTTTGTCACCATCAATGGTGCCCTGCCTTCATCAACACGCACCGACCAGCGTGGTGAAGAATGGTTAAATTTGACCCCCCCCATGACCCGCACAACATGGGGGGGTGGGGGGGGGGGTGCTTTATCCAGCAATAGATTGACAATGGGCTGTACGTGTACTTGAAGAAGTGATACGATCAGCTCCGCAGAATTGAAGGGGCGTGAGTTGACCCCAACTTTCTTGCTTTCGTGAGCCACGTGTTGCCAACCTCTGCGCCACGTGGGACAAAATGTCATTGATTCACGCCAATCCTCACGCTTGTGTTTTATCTCCCAAGTTGGACAAGGAGCTGGCCAAGGCGGACGACGGTCCAGCCGACAACGGGAAAGCGGGCACCAAGAACGGGCCCGGCAAGAAGCCCTCCGGCGACGGCTCGGCGGGCAGAAGGGGCCTCCACACGGCGAGCCGCGTGGCCCCCGCGGCCACGGCGCCGGCGAAACCGTGGGCTGGCGTGATGGTGGCGCGCGCAAACGCACGCCGGCAGATCGCGCCGCCTCGCGCCATCGACGCGGCGTCTTCGGAGAGCGACAGCGATAGCAGCGGCGACGACGCCTCTTCTGATTCGTCGTCCGGAGCCAGTCTCTGAATGGTGGACGCGATCCGATTTAATTTGAAGTGGCATGGCGCTAAGCGGCATGTGACCTCCCCCCCCCCCCACCAACAACAACCATCGCTGAAGCACTACCGGGTACTCGCCAAAGAAAGGGTGTCAAAGATTGGGTGCCATTTGGTGTCGAGAAATCATCTTACGTTTGCATTACTGTTGCTCATGCTTGTTTTCCAGCCTTCGTGTACTTTTCTCTGTGATGAATTTCTCACAATTAGAACTGCTTTATTGTGGGGCACTGATTTGTAAAACATTGCACATATCTATTTAAAAGCACAGTTGTGCCATTATTAAGGTTGTTGCTGCTGCAGCAGCAATTTTATGCAATCAATGACGGTTTAAGCAAATGTGAAAATTATGAAAATTGCAAATTGGAATAATAGATAGGTTATTTTTTTAACTTTGACGTTGCTGTGAATTTAAATTTCGATAGAGTTCTGCACTGTACAAATTCGCTTATGCAAAATGTATAGCATGACATTTGTGGATTACCACAGTGAATGGAGTTTTAGGACAAGTCTTGAAAAACAACTTGAAGATGTATTTTTATTATGACAGTAATAATAATCTTTACCAAGCAGATGCCCATCGGAATCGCACCACCGTATCTTAATTTCGATTCTGCTTGGCTCGCGTAACAAGGGCGCCATGGTGGTGAGATGTTAACTTACCTCGCCTGATATACAGGAGGTCGATGGGTTTGATCCCGACCCTGATGCCTGTATATTTGGAGCTTGCATGTTCTCCCCGTAGTCATGTGGATTTTTCTCGCGGACCTCTGGTTTTTCCTTCCACATTTAGAAACATGCGTTCAGAGTATTTGGGCAGCTATAAATTTCCAATCGATAAGCCACTTGATCAAGTTATCATTTGTGGCTAGGTCAGTTCTGACAAAAAGTTATTATAGCTCAGCAGGCCTTACCTGGTAAATTAAAAACTAGTTTAAAAACCAGTTGATACCCAATGACGGTTGCTTGTGTTGCAATCGAAACGTCGTACTCCATTATTTAATTTATTTTCTTTCTACATGACTTTACCGAAAGAAGCAAAGAGTAACTCCTGCAGTCACGAAAGCTTCAAATCAAGTTTGAACTAGTTATAGTTTAACTTTAGTTCTTTTTCGAATGCCATCACACGATGTTCACGCGACGGTTTACCTTGTCAGCATGACGGGTGTGTGCACGGCCCTGCCCGTTCTCCGCAGGTCTCTGACTTGTGCGCGAGCGCCTCATTGAATCGCGAGCACCCCTTGGCAGATTTGAATTCACACATGGCAGTGCTGCTGCTTCAGCTGCTGCTGCTGCTGTTGATTCTGGCAAGACGCCCTGATCACGTTCGTTCCAGGATACGAGCATCGCACAAAGGATAGTGTTGCGCACTTCACAAGCCACGGAGTGAACTCAGGGGAGTTTGTCAAGGCAAAGAACTGGCAACTGGTGTTATCCACTCTCCAGGCTATATCGACATTTTCAAAAAAAATTGTTTCAGGGCGAGGGTGTTTGACTTGTTTACCTTGTGAGCTATGCCACTTTCTATAAAGCCACGAACTTACGTCGGAACTCTTTGTTGAACGACAGCAGGCACATTGCCAGCTGGTGCGGTAAGGGACGACTCTGTTGAAGTCATTGCGGTTTAATCGTTGGGTGTATAAAATGTAAAAAAAGAACAAAAATATTTTTAGAACAGTATTACAGCAAACATTGCGGTGTATTTTTTTTTATTGATCACATAAATGATGGGTTTTATCATATTGGTTTATTACGCGTTATATTATGCTCTCCGTATACATGGCAGTATTCAAAACATACAACCTGGGATTCATTTTGAAAGTGATAATAACAATAAAACTTATTTTATTCCGGTAACACAATTGTAAATCCATTGTGCTGCGTCGTGCAAATAAAGCAATATATATTTTTTTCCAAATGGCCGCGTACACAATACAGTTCTAAATCCAATTATAGCGAGTTTTTTTTTATTAAATTACCTTTGCCTGTAACAAAGAGAAGCTCTTCATTGTGTTAAGCAGCGACGGCGAGGCCCTGGCACCCCCCCCCCCCCCCCCCCGCTTTAACCCCGGGCGGTGCGCTGGCTTTGTGCTGCTCCGTTAGAATATAATTGATTCCTTCCCCTTTTCAGGAGCCGTTAGCGTTGACGTGTTTTGACTTTCGCGACGGGCCCCGAGACCGCCCGAGGCTCAATGGGGAGAGCGGCAAACACTCATTAAAAGGGATTTTCGGGCTGTCCCTTAAACCGGTCATCCGCCGTTTAAGTGTCTTCACCGCACCCCCCTCCCCTCCATCTCGCATGTCCCCTTCACAGCTCAAGTGGCCGATGGCCCCAGGTTGGGACGGCTCATATGGCAGGGGATGGTGTGGAGGCGGGCGCGTGCACTCACCGTCGTCGTCGCTATTGCCCCAAGTTTTCGGTGCGCCCCCCCCCCCAACACACCCACCCACGCACGCACTACCACCACCACCCACCCCAACATAAAAAAGCCATCAAAACAAACCGGGTGTAGTTGAATTGCCGGCGAGTGGGTGGCTTGCCCCTAATTCTGAAATGACAAAGCGAAGTGCGTCGTGAAAGGTTGAGCCGGGCGGTGACGGTGGCGCGGGTCCCTGGCAATCCACCACGTTGGCGGCACTCGTTGGTGGATCACGTAGATTAGTGACATTGGATTGTTTTGTTGTTTTATGAGGTGGGGTTATGTAGGGGTGAGGTCTGGTGGTGGTGTTGGTGGTGCAAGTGCTCCCAAATCCACTGGGCTGTGAGGGGGGTCAGGAGATGGCAGGACATTGAGTGGAGTCATGAGCTCGTCTGTTCGGCGAAACTTGCAGTATATTTCGTCTTGCATGTGTGGTCGGTTTTAATCTGGGTGTTTTTATCCACACACACAAAAAACAGAACAGCGCCTTCAAATTTAAAAAGGCAATTCCCCAAACATTCCCATCAAGGTATAGGACCCTCCTGATAAAGTCTTGAGCTTCGGTGACGCTGCCTTGGGATAAATACACAACATAACCATCATCATATGCGGTGCGAAAGATGCCCAACATACATACACCATGTATGTTATAAATCAATACCCACAATCTGTTAACAGTTGCCGAAAAACATTCTCAGAACTAATCAACCGTAAAAAGACGGACCTTAATTACTAGCGTCTATAATGCTGCTTTCGTTTGTGGTCAATTCAGGAGCGCGCCTTTCCTCGCTTGCCTTCCACGCACATTCCACGCGCAAGCGTGCGCGCCGCCGATGATCGGATTCGTCGTCTTCGACGCTTGTAATTATTTATACCCTCGCTCGAGATGCACCCACAAACCCATCCACCCGTCCAACCACCAGCCGGGCCAGCCAGCCAGCCCCCAATCGGCCACAACCTACCCCAGCCCTTTCCTACCACCATAGAAAAGAAACCCCGATTCTTCCTGATATACTTTACAACGCGACCCGCTCGCTGCCTCTGCGGATAGCCATGACAACGGAGCGCGCACAAGGCGGAATATGCTAGAATAACGAGACGCGGGCCCCTCGGCTAAACAGCCCAAAACCTAATTGCCTCTTTTCTTTGTGATCCGTGGCCAAATAAAGCGAGACCCGCGCTCCAATTAAGCCGTCAGCGGCGCACATTCCCCATCGGGCTGCCCGCGTCTCCCGGCCGCTGCTATGGCTACAGGTCCCGAGCCGTGCTTGGTGGCTATGGTGGGACGGGTGGTGGTGGTGGTTGATGGTGGTTTTGCACTTGATGGTAGTGGTGCCGCTTGCTCTTGCCGCTAATGGTTAGTGGCTGTGGTGGGGATTGGTGATGTTGGTGATTCCTATGGTGCTGTTGGTGATGTCTGTGGTGGGGATGGTGATGTTGGTGATTCCTGTGGTGGGGATGGTGCTGTTGGTGATTCCTGTGGTGGGAGTGGTGCTGTTGGTGATTTCTGTGGTGGGGATGGTGATATTGGTGATGCCTGTGGTGTGAGTGGTGCTGTTGGTGATGCCTGTGGTGGGAGTGGTGCTGTTGGTGATGCCTGTGGTGTGAGTGGTGCTGTTGGTGATTCCTGTGGTGGGAGTGGTGCTGTTGGTGATGCCTGTGGTGGGAGTGGTGCTGTTGGTGATTCCTGTGGTGGGGATGGTGCTGTTGGTGATGCCTGTGGTGGGAGTGGTGCTGTTGGTGATTTCTGTGGTGGAGATGGTGCTGTTGGTGATTCCTGTGGTGGGGATGGTGCTGTTGGTGATTCCTGTGGTGGGAGTGGTGCTGTTGGTGATGCCTGTGGTGGGAGTGGTGCTGTTGGTGATTCCTGTGGTGGGGATGGTGCTGTTGGTGATGCCTGTGGTGGGAGTGGTGCTGTTGGTGATTTCTGTGGTGGGGATGGTGCTGTTGGTGATGCCTGTGGTGGGGATGGTGCTGTTGGTGATTCCTGTGGTGGGAATGGTGCTGTTGGTGATGGCCGTGAGCGGGAGGGGGGGGCAATGCCCCTCCCGAACTTGACACCTTTATTAATTTATTATCAGTAGTTTGCAATAAAGATTATAAATACATTAATCATATGCACCCGCGATGCCCAATGTGAGGGACAAAGCGAGCCCCCCCCGCCCCCCAAATATTGAAGTCAAACTCCGTCTTTGGTGATGCCTGTGATGGCGGGGAGCGGTGGCGCAGTGGTTAGCGCCACGCTGCGCTACGAACCTGGCCACCCAGGTTCGATTCCCGCTTACGGCCAACACCGTTGACGATTATCTGAACCGGTCCTGGGCCTCCCCTAGGTCAACTCAGGCTCAAATGAGTACCTGGTGCGGTGTGTAGTAAACATCGCCACTGGGGAGACAAAGGTGGTCGGGCGTGATGCTGGCCACCCACCCCCTTGTGTACCGTTCCGTCCTTCATTAGGTGCTCGCTAACAGCACTTGCTCCAACAGTCTGGTAAGGCTATACGGAGGGTCTTTGTCTTTGGTACAGTTGATGGTGATGGTCGTGTTGTACTTGATGGTGATGTTTGGTGGGGAGTGATGCTGTTACTTCTCTCGCTGCTAATGAAAGTGCCTGCGGTGGTGGTTGTGGTGCAGCTGGTGGTGGTGTATTTGACGGTGGTGTTTGCTGGTGGTGTTCGTGGAGGCGATGTTGCGCATTTGTCCGTCGACTACGCTGCGCCCAGTGAACTGAACTGAATTCCCAGCCTCGGATAACACCATTGGGAAGTGGTATCAGGACTTGTTCTGGGCCGCCCCTATGTCAACTCGGCCTCAAATGTGTACCTGGTGGATGGAGTGCATGCAAACTTCGGTGCTGGGGAGACAAAAGCGGGCATGAGCGTGGTGCAGACCATACCACCCCCGCGTGCGCCGTGTTTGCCACGATAAATGTTCGATAAACAGCTGTCTATCGGGGAAAACAAAAAAACAGAGGCGCTTTGTTGGTGGTTGATGGCAGTGGTGATGGTGCTGATAGTGCTTGTAATGATGAGATTATCTGTGGTGGTGATTATTGTGTTGTTGGTGGTGGTTGTCGGTGGTGGTGGCAGTGGTGAGTGGTGGTGGTCGTGATGACGTTGTAGGTGCGCTGCTGATTCTATTATTATTACTGCGGTGTATAAATGCCCACAATCATACACTCCGTCAGATTCACAGTGGACCTCAACTCTCCTGTGATCTCATATGTGAGGGTCCAATTTGACCAAATTCGAAAATTACCCGCAAATTACTCCGTTTGGATTACACTTAACAGCAATCGTCGCCCCTTCCTGACAGACCGATACAAACGAGGCTGCTGTATCAGTTACCTCCAGGGTGGGGTGGTTGATTTTCGTGGTACACTAGTGGTGGGTTCAACCCCGGCGAAGCTTGGAGAGCCGAATGGAGTTCAAAAGGACTCACAACCAAGCATATCACACCATTGGAACCTCATTTTCCAGTAAAAAAATATGATAATTGTTTTTTTACCCTTCTATCTGGCAACAAAACTGACACTTTTTTTTACAAGGAGTCATGTTTGCATAGACCACAATACCTGCAGTCATAATGCAAACAAAAAACATAACTCTGATAATGTATGCGCCTTTTGGCGTCATCTGGTTCAACACCATGTGAGACTAGGCTTTAAGGAAAGCTGTCTCGGGTGTGGACCAATCAACTTCAAGGACAGTTCATACATTATCAGAGTTATGTTTTTTGTTTGCATTATAACTGCAGGTATTGTAGTCTATGCAAACATGACTCCTTGTAAAAAAAAGATGTCAGTTTTGTTGCCAGATAAAAGGGTAAAAAACCAATTATCAACCAAGCATATCGTGAAAGACCCAACGCAGAAGATCCTTTGGTTTGATCTGCCACGAAGCTCATGGTCCACCCTCAATCGCATCCGCACAAACCTTGGCAGATGCGGATACCTGATGCACAAATGGACAATTGAAATGTCTCCAGTAGTGGTGCGACTGTGGTCATCCAGAACAGACCGTACAACGTATAACGACGCAATGCCCGATCCACAAATACAAAGGAGACATCACAGCGATACACTCCGCTACTGCCGACGCGGTTGTCTGGCGTGACCACCAGAATGTGACAGTGTGGTTTTTTGCTCTGCATCTACATCAGCCATACGAAAGAAGAAGTGATGGTGATGGTGGTGGGCTAAGGTGAGTTGGTGGTGGTGCTTGCTGGTGGTAGTGGAGGCTGATGGTGATTGTGGTTAATGTGCTACTGTTACATTTAGTGGCACAGGATCAGGTGGCGTTACGTTGAATATGGTTAACATTTCTCGCAAACTCAATTATACAAATTCGTGTAATTACTCTTAAAACGGCTGCCCCTAGTCATTACTGCCAAGGAGGAGATGTCCGCGTAATAACCGTTTAAAATTTAATCCTTTCTGCTCGCCGTACATGCATACAACCGTGCGTGTAAGAATTGATTTTAATCAATGTATGCTAACGTATGAAATTGCCACACTGTGTCTGCTAATGTTAGCGTTCGTGTTCGTTTTTGACCGAACAGAGCGTTACAAAGAGAGATGACCAGACCACACGGGGCAATACTGGCGTGATGGTACAGACAATATAACAATACAAATGTAAAATGCGCATTCTATCCTCGGATCCCAATGTCCGATGCATGAAAAGCAGGAAACAAAAACAGAACCAGGGGGCCAAGCGACTAAACTGGAGAGGGAAGGCAACTTCAAAGAGACGGGGTTTTCAAAGCAGATTTAAATGCATCTACCGACTCTTGATGGCCGAGTTCAATCGACAAACCCCGAATCATGACGATTACTCGAATCGTCTGGAGGAGGAGGAGGTTGAATGGTGGTTACATGTCGAGATGTTCGTGTCAATGGGTCTTGACGTGGGCTAAATGAAGCAGACGCCTGCGATGGACGCTGCCGTGTGGGTAACGGTTAGCGCGCTGGACTTGCGATCCAAATGTCGCCCCCTTTGTTTTCCCGGCGCGGCAGCTGAAACAATGTTGCAAGTTTCTTCAATAACCCCCCCCACCCGCCAACCTCCTCCACCGCTGTCCTTTCAGAAGTATAACTGGGCACACCACACAGTACATTGATCGGCAGCTCGTCTTGTGGGGTGGGGTCTGGTCAGCGTGGAAGAGTAGACCCAAATAAATATCTCGCTCGAGGCCCTTTTCAATCAGCATCGGCGTGAGCATGGCATTGCAGGGCTGCGCCTTCACATTCGGGTGTACGGGGTGCAGCAACGCATCGATTCGTTGATTAGAAGTCTTCATCCTCACGATGCCCGCATAATGATAGCCTCTTGCGTGAATGGAGAGGTGTCTCTGCCTTTGTATGTATACAATAATACTTTCAGAGACCTGTCACTCCACTGCTGGATGAAGGTCCCTCCCACGCTGTGGACAAAGTGCGCGTTTGTCTAACTATACTACATCAGGCAGAGAAATATCAAGGAGGGCACCTCTTTAAAGTGTTATTGGAGGAGGATGGTGGGGTTGTGATATCGATGAGGATAAATGCAGTTTGCCTGTGCACGCCAGGCATCACGCGAGGCCACGGGAGGGAGGTGGGTGGGTGGGGGGAGGAGACGCGACTCGGTTGAGCGATCACAGGCGAGGCCTCTCTCACCCAGCCTCATTGCAATAATCATCTTAACGGATTAGGGGTCGCACTTAAACCGAGAAGAGGGGGGGGGGGGAGGCTTTCAAGCAAGGGGTGGGGATTCTACTTTCAGCGGGCCGCACGAAATCCGCGATTTCATTTCTTACGAGTCGCGTCCACACGAGGCCGTCATTGTCTGTCGTCCGTTCCCAAGCGGCCCGCAAAAGAGAACTCTCCATCGCTGCGAGCATTCTCGCAACACTAATCAGGTCCTCGAGCGCACAAGTAATAATAATAACGAGCTGGCAAGCACAGCGCTTTAAAAAAAAAGGTTTTGCACGGTCAGACACTTTTGTTCACTTCAACTTGTGTTGATGTTTGCATGAAACCGCATCCACCACCCACCGGATATTAAAGATTCGAACCCAAAGAATCTCAAGGGGTGACCAAAGTCTCTCTGGTTAAATGGGTATCGGGAATTTAAGACTGACCCTTAGGAATCCTGAAGGTGCCATGGTCTGGGTTCTCCGAGCCTCGGGTACTAACCGTGTTTTCTGTGCGCCGTAAATTCCGAACTATATAATACAATTTCGATTTAAAGCTTTCGTTACTGCAGGGAATCATCTTCTTGGTTCTTTCGGTAAAGTCACGTAGAAGGGAAATTATAAAATAATAAAAATAAAACATAATAAATAATTCTCACGACGTTTCGGCCACAACGCAAGCAGCCGTCCTCAGGTGAAGAACAGGTCTGTCGTCATTCAGACGCTGTCTTCTCGACAGACCTGTTCTTCACCTGAGGACGGCTGCTTGCGTTGTGGCCGAAACGTCGTGAGAATTATTTATTATGTTTTATTTTTATTATTTCCCTTCTACGTGACTTTACTGAAAGAACCAAGAAGATATATATTACAATTTAACACGTAGGCGTTCGCTACCAATATTACCGGGTGGTGGCGGGTTTAACGCCACATTTATATTTACGCGATCTCACCCAAAAACCTCTATTATGGACACATAATACAACGCCGTATGCCCGCACCGCCCCATTCAATATCACCGACATCCCACCACGAAGCCTCCACCGAGGCAACTGAAAATCGCTGAACAACCCCGATGTATACACACACACACAAATAACGTTGCAAGTGTCCCCTTGCCATACGACACAAACTCCTCCCGACCACCCGCGTGCCATTGACTTTGTGGCAGCCTCCGGATTACAAGACGCTGCAGATAAGAAGAAGACGCACTCCAGACTGGCGCCCCCGGTGTCAATGTGATACCATTCTGGTGAAAGACAAAGATCCCCCCCTCCCGTTGTAGGCCACACGGGCAGTAGGGGCAAGTGCTTGTAGCGAGCACTGCTTAAAAGCACACGAGAGGGGGGTGACTGTGGCAAGCGTCACGCTCCGGTCACCACCGTGCCAGGCTACTCATTTAAGGCCGAGTTGACCCTAAGGGGGGGGGGGGGAGACCCAGGACCGGTTCAGATAATCGTCACTGTTATTGGTCACGAGCGAGAATCGAACACGGATCGCCGGGGCTCCTCGCGCGTTTTGTAAACAAATCTGGCCACACAAACGCGCGGACGTCGGATATTAATTGACAGCCCAGCCAGCGGATTGAATTTAAAGTGGTGGTTAACGTGCGCCGCATAATACAGACAATTGAAACTATGAAACAACGTTTTAGAGAATTAAATTGGGGTGGGGTGGGGGGGGGGAGTCACAATACATCTGGACCACGCTGTACTATACAGCACAGGGTAAACAATTGCACATTTACGGAATTTCCCCAACAAGACGGAGACTCAATTCACGGACGGAGCCGGTAGTGTTCGTGCTTCTGCGTAGATGAGCATCAACAAGTCTGTTCATGCTACACGGGAGGGGGAGGGGGAGATCTTTGTCTTTTTGCGCGCGCACCAATGAATCAATAACCGCTAATTAGTGATGTGATTGGCTTCACAACAGGTGAGCGTGGCTCATTGCATTATAAAAAATAATCACTCGCATGTGCGCTCCCTCTCCCACCCCACCCACCAACACACAACTATACAGGCCGAGCAAGTCCCACCGTGTACAAATCCTCTAAGCGGCACGGCAAAGCAGTTCTCGGCTGAGTGTACGGGGCTACTCGCTGCCTCGTTCCGAAGTCGCCGGCTACCTCCTCGCTCTGTTCCCTGGGAGTGAAACGCGAGGGGAAAGATGCTGCCGTGCGTATGCAGGTATAAAGCGCACTTTGCAGGTATAAAGATGCACCTTGCAGGCGTAAGGTGCACCTTGCAGGTATAAGGCGCACCTGCACGATACGGACATGCCCCCCCCCCCCGGGAACATTGGTTGGTATTGTGGTCTCTCTCTCTCTCCCCTTTTGTTTCGTTCTTTTTTAGGCCGTGTTGGTGAAGAGTGCGAGTTGAGTTGCGTGTTAAGTGGCGTTGGGAGATGTTTGTGCGGGGTGTGATGGTGGTGGTCGTGGCGGTCCACGGTATCGTATCGGGGTGGTGATGGCAGTGGAGAGTCTGGCTGTGGAGCGTCGTCTGTGTTACGTTGACGCTTGCACTGGTCGCTGATTTGTGCTGATGCTGTAGTGGTGCTGATTTAATGTGAGAGTTTGTGGTGATGAACTGGTCTCCCAAAAGTGGTGATTTGATTGCGATTCTGATTTAGCCGATGGAGGTGGCTTGTTGTTGTTGGTAGGCGCGCTGCGTTGGCATGCTCCGTTGCAGCGACACGTCTTGCCTACCTCCCTATGATCAAATTCGAGTCGCTCACCTAGGCCGACTCGGTCGTCTTTTAAAATGATTATCTCTGGTGCGGTGTGTGTAACATCAGCACGGAGGCGCTCCAACGTGGTGCTGGCCACCCCACCCCCTCTCGCGCCGTGCCGGCCTTGATAGGTGCTCGCTAACATGAAGAAACCGTGTGGTCTGTGTGCAGGGTGTGGTGCGTGTCTGCAATATGAACGAATTCTCTCCCTTTAAATGAATAATCGCTTTCATTGCGTGAACATCCGCACGACAGTCAAACGACGGCCGTGCGTGTTTTCTGACCCCACCCCCATGACTTCGGTGTGTCCCGTTCTGCCCTTTAATAGGCGCTCGCTAACAACAATTTGATCCGACGACAGTCTGATACGGCTACATGGGGTGGGGGGGGGGGGACCTGGTTAAGTCGTGTGTGACTTTTGTACATTTGTGACCCCCTTTTCTCAGTGTTCTCGTGGTGGCACTAATCGTCAGCAGCGCACGTGGCCAAGTGGACCCACCGCCTCTAGCAGGTAACGAGACAAACACCACGGGGCCTCATTTCAGGCAGGGCTCTCTGGGTCCCCACAACTCTTGAAATATTTCTGTACCCGGCACACCACATAAAGTCTACAGCAGGGATGGAGAACCTTTTTTCTGCCAAGGCCCATTTGGATATTTCTAACATCATTCGCGGGCCATACAAAATCATCAACTTAAAAATTAGCCCGTTTTATTTGGTCAAACATTTAATTACTCGCCCCTAATGTGATGGCTGGAACTGCTTCTCTTTGCGAGGCGCGTGGTAGCAGGTATTGATGATGTTGCTACTCGCAACTGCTTTTCCAGGTTTGCTCCTAGAATTGTTGAATTTCGAGTCCCGCCTGCGGTTGCCTTGGCAGGGCCAGACCCAAATGGTTTCGCGGGCCTCATACGGCCTGCGGGCCGGGCGTTCCCTACCCCTGATCTACAGTTTCAAGCCAGTGGCTCGTCGCAGTTCCTACTCCAGTGCACTGGTTGGAGACGTCTGTGCAACCCCCCCCCCTCCCCATGTGACCCAGTGTCTAAGCCCCTACTGCACGTGGACTCTGTAGTTGCACCGCCTGCACACTCGATAGCTCTGCCACTGCTTCTACCGTACTCTTCATCCCATGTTGCCTCTTTGCCCCGTAATATTCCAGCCGTGATTTTCTTACCGTTCTCCAAAAAATTAAATCCATCTCTCGAAGCTCTTCTCGTCAAAACCGATTGGTTACAGAACTCACGAACCAACATCCTGTGAAAGACCCAATGCAGAAGAACCCTGGGTTTGAGCTTCCACAAAACTCATGCTCCACCCTAAATCTCATCCACCGCACAAACCACGGCAGATGCGGATACCTGATGCACAAATGGACACTAAAAAAAACCTCTCCAGTAGTAGCGGTGCGACTGTGGTCATCCAGAACGGGGGACCGTGTAACAACGCAATGCCCCGATCCTCAAATACGAAGGCGACATCGCAGCGACGATGCACTCCGCTGCTGCTGATAACGCTGTTATGTGCGCTTGGCCCACCTGCATGTGAAATGGGAGCTGTTGCTCTGCAACGACACCAGGAGCCGCACGAAAAGGTGCAGCATTTTGCATTTTGCACTGCGACGTGCAATATGAATCACGATTTTAGGTGTTTTTTTATTGTTGTATCGCGCTTTTTGGATGTCCCCCCCCCCCCCCCCCCCCCCCCCCCCCCAGAGTCCCTGGTGCGCTGTGGGGTCGACACAATCGGCTTCGTGATGCCCAGGGAAGCGCTGGGCTGGGGCCTTGTGTTGCTGAGCGCGAGAGGTGAGCGGTGGTGCCTTGGCGATGCCACCTCCCCTCCCCTCGTCGTCCCCTCAGATCCACTGCGAACTATTTGCGAGGGTAAAGTTGTTTTTTACTGCGACAGTCGTTGCTAGAAATTGGCATAGGCTGTCGCTTCGGCACTTCTGATCTAAATAAATAAATACTACAGCTGTAGATAAATATTATTGTAAGCTGGGATGATGACAACATCCCGTCGAATGACGGGCCACTCTCTTCGTTGTGGAACTGAGAAGGGAGTAACTCCGGATATCTGCTCGGTCAAACCCAATGCTTGACCCTCCTGAAAGTGCTCCGAGTCGGGTGAGCCTGTCCTGAGTAACGATGTTTACGTTGTGCGTAACACCTAATTGTTACTTACACGGCGATTAGCGCTCTGCGCCACGAACCCACTGACGCGAGTTCGATTCCTGGCCATGGCTAACATCGGTTGTGAGCGATTTTTGCTTAAACCATTCCTCGGCCCACGCCTTCACCAACCCGCAGTGACCGGCGTGGTGCAGAGCGTTTTAAACAACACGCACGACTGAGACGGCATTCCCGAGGAGGAGAGGGGGGGGTAGAGAGAGGGGGGGGGGTAGAGCTAGAGGGGGGGGGGGGGGGTAGAGCGGAGTGGGGGGGGGGGGGGTTTGTCCGGCAGTGTTTTTTTGCGAAGGGCTGGTACGTAAAGATCATTGTACACTGTGGCCGGTGACATTAACTGGCGTGTGGGGCTGGCAGGGGGTGCATTGGCCCCTCCTTCCTGGTGGCCAAAGCCACGAGTTTGGGGGGGGGGGGGGCCTTGACAAGCACCATGAGATGTCTCGTAAAAGTATAAAATAACTTGTTTATAACGCGGTTTAAGTTAATTGATATGAAAATGCTTTCACGTTTAACTCTTTAACACGTAGGCTTTGTCGGGTGGTGGAGGATTACGACACATTTATACTTGCACAATCTAACCCAATAACCTTTATTATGAAAATAGAACTCGGTTTCTGGGATATTTACTTTATTATATACACGTAAATGATTGTATTGCAAGCAGTACTGCGGCGCTGTCGTGGCCGCATTTTGCTAAGACGGAACACCCCTATAGCGTTAAAAGTTCGAGACGTGAGCTTAATGATGTGATTGGGCAGGAGGAGACGCGCGCTTTCTAACAGCCGCGAGGTGCTACTGCGCGAGACAAATCGAAGATCGGGGTGCCCAACCTCGCTCGTTGCCGCACCCCCTGAGCTGACAATGTAGTCGCGTCACCTGAGGGGGTGGCTCATTTGAAGTGGAAATGCAGTGAACGAACTAAACAATTCGTAACGTTCTTGGCCGCCTACCTGAAGGCCACGTGACCCACCCGTCAAAAACGATGCGTCGCACCTCCTCTTTGCTTCAAACTCGTTCATCGGTAATCTTCACAAATCTGGAACCAAGGACGAGGATGAATTTTTGTCAGGCCAGAACCTCGTTGGCTTAATTTACAGTTAATACAACTTAAAAATGGCTTTGCTTTGGGGGGGGGGGGGGGGGGGGGCTGGCTCCGCTGTAGTTAAGAGTTGTTGATGGTGCCACCAGATGCCGCGGGGATTCTGGTGAACGTGAACTCCGCTCCCAGTGGCTGCAAGTTCCGGCTGGAGAGGCCGGCGGACGGCAGCCTCGAGTTTTCGGCTCCCAACGACGGCTGTTACGCGACCGCGTTGGTAAGCGGACCGCGGTGAGAGGGATCAACCCCTTGCCCATTGCTGGCGTCGTCTTGGTTCTTTCGATAAAGTCACGTAGAAGGGAAGTAATAAAATAATAAAACATAATAAAATAATTCTCACGACGTTTCGGCCACAACCGCAAGCAGCCGTCCTCAGGTGAAGACCAGGTCTGTCGGGGAGACAGCGTCTGAATGACACACCACCACGCTCAGATGCTGTCTCCCCGACACCTGGTCTTCACCTGAGGACGGCTGCTTGCGTTGTGGCCGAAACGTCGTGAGAATTATTTTATTATATTTTATTTTTTATTATTTTATTATTTCCCTTCTACGTGACTTTACCGAAAGAACCAAGAAGATGAATCCCTGCAGTCACGAAAGCTCTAAATCGAAAATTGCTGGCGTCGTTGTCGTTTTGATCAACGTGCCCATTGCCACCCCCGCCGCAGCTACCGGGCAAGCGCAACTCTTCCACTTGTGTATATGCAGGGTGCTTCAAAGAAATGTTCACGCTTTTGAGAATTTGCAACAATGCCGCAAGAAATGTTTCGCCTCCCCCGTTGGGGGCTCTGAAGACCACCTGGAGAAGATTCCGGGCACGCGTTGGTGATGATGGCGAAACGAGTGGAGACGCTTTGACTTTTTGAAGCTATTAACATCACATTTGTTATCTTGTTTCCATGTTATTATCCGTACTTTTTCCATTTAAAAACGGTAGTCCCATATAAGTGTTAACAATTTTTAAGCACCCTGCAAATGAAAAAAATCCTATTAATTATTTGCAACTTCCGGACCCACTGTTTGGGGAGGCAGTGGCGCAGTGATTTGAGTGATGCGCTACAAACCCATTGACCATCGAGATTTGATTCACGGTTAAAATCTGTTAATGGCGGGGGGGGGGGGGGGTCGGCTCTTCCCCCGCCGCCGACTCTACCAAGCAGCAGGGCTCTGGCCCTCCTGACGATTTCCTCCGCAGGGCTCGAGCAGGCGCATGGTGTTTGTGATGGAGACCACGGCGTACCGAATCACGTCTCGCTCAACCTTCTCCGTCTCCTGTGTCCTGGGGCCTCGTTCGCTCGTGGTCGGTAAGCGGAGACGATGCACATCGTGACCCCCCCCCCCCAATCCAGGGGTTGTCAACCAATATAACAATAGCCATTTTTTTCCCCTTCCAATTCGGCAAAAAAAACAACTTTTAAGAGCCGCAGTGCACGTAAATACGAGACGATCCTTAATAAGATCGTGACGCAGTTCTTAGAGGAGCTGCCTGCGGCTCTGCAGCTGCACCTCGCCCTAACCTTAATGATTGACTCATCATTGTGACATCTGCCCCCGTCATCCGTTTGACCTCGGGCTTCATTGTGACCTCTACCGTAGTTTTGTCTGCCCCCTAATAGTGTCATTGAGTCTCGTGGGCCTCTTCACTCAACGGTGATCTCCACCTTCGTCAATGTCACGTGGTGGTGATGGTAGTGATCGACGGGTTGACGATGGAGATTGTGGTGATGACGGTGGAGGAGACATCGAGATGGTTGTGATGAATCTAAAATGACAATGAGCCTCACGGGACATAACGATGGATTATCGCTAAAGGCGAAACCATTCTTCTCAACCATCTGGCAACTGGTGAACATCTCCCTGTGCCAGCTTGTTGCATGATGTCAGGATGCCAACTTCTGATCATCCTAATGGCCACGAGTAGCCGTGTGCAGGACTAAACTGGCCCTACACCTCCGTATGTAGCCAACCCATTGGCGCAGTTGGCTACGTACGGTGCACACAAACAACCTCTGATAATTTGAGTTGTGGCAGGCTTGACTGATGATGACTGACCAGTGATATCCACCTTGCTGCCCCCCCCCCCCACTGCACCACCCATGTGATCCAGGTGACTCGGACTGCCCCGTGTCCCTGTCCTCTCGGCCGCTTTGCGACTCTCCGTCTGCCGGCCTTGACTCGTGTCTCGCCAAGGGCTGCTGCTATGAAGATGCCGGTGGCGGCGGTGACCGGTCGACGTGCGTCTATGGGAATTCTGGTAACTGCACGAGCGCGGCACGCGATTTGAGAGGGACGCGTGGAGCGGGGGCCTCTCTCTCGTCGTGGGTAGACGGCGTGATGTGCCATGAACCTGGTGACCCCCAGAAGCTCCCGCTGAGACTGACCCGCATGGTCACGTGACTGGCCGGCCTGCACACGCTAATTGTATTATTCAGCCAGCTGGAACATCAAGATGCAGAGCTCTGCATGAATAAATCTCCTGATTCGTGGGAGTTTAGGCCTTTGTCTCTTTGCCGGGGTATACATTTGCCAATTTCGAAAGTTACACCACAAATTACCCTATTAGGATTGTCCACACGGGAAGCAATCGTTGCCCCCCCTGACTAGTGGACATAATGTCACGCTTGCCAATGAGATTCTATCTTGCTCTCTTGCATTCTCTCCTGGTTGAACAAATATAACCTTGAGACTTGGAGGGATGCTGCCCTGCTTGCTTTATCTGCCACCACCAGCCATTCGCCACCATGAAGATCTCGTGCCCTCTGCCAACCATCTCACCTTGGACGATGAGCCAGATGGTGGATTGCAGCGCTCATGAGGACTGCCACCAATGATACCCCGTCACCCTCGCTCCACCACTGGACAATCCCATGCCTCGCACCAACGGTCTTTGAATAACGCCACAGTCTCCAAGCTTGGCTCGCAACATTAACCTCGCGCCACCACCAAAAGCCAAAACTCGCGCCCTGCGAGACAAACGCTTGGATCCACCGATCCAAGCTATAACGCACGGCAGTGGTTCACGCATTTCCAGAGGGGGAGGGGGGTGGGAGACACTTTCGCCGGTAAGACATCGGTGTGAAGTGTCACCACACGTGAAACCATTGGGGTTTGAAATCACGGGGGCGGGCAGGGGGGGGGAGGGCACACTAAAGGCCACCAGGGACCGCCAGTAGCCCGCGGGCCTTGTAGCGATGAACACTGACCTATGGGATCTTTAACACCCAGCCTCGTGCCACCACGAGGAAATCTCTTTGCCGGCGTCGCTCGCTCATCTCCCTCCCCTCCTCCCTCTGCTGCCCGCAGTGTGCACGCGGGACGGCCACTTCGTCCTCGTGGTGCCCAGCGGCCCGGCCAGCGGCCTCAACCTGAGCTCCGTGAGGGTGCAGGGCTCCGAGTCGCGCGCCTGCGGCCTCGTCCACCTCGACGACGACTTTGCGGTGTTCCGCTTCGGTGTCGCGGAGTGCGGGGCCGTGTGGAAGGTACGGGACGTGGGGGGCGGGGGGAGGGTGGGGGTGTGGGGGGTGTATGTGGGGCAGAGGTCGCAAACGGGTTTTGATTCCTTACCCGTACCCGGCCGCACCAGGGTCGCAAACGGGTACCCGTACCTGTACCCGGCGGGCACGGGTAGCCGGGTATCGGGTAGGGTACGGGTATCGGGTACCCGATTGCGACCTCTGATGTGGGGGTGGCGGCTTAACAGGAGTGCGGGGGCCACAGTTGATGTGTTCTGTGCATGCAGTCTCAAACTCCATTGTTTGATAAACTACAAACTGTTTTCTCTTTTAACAGGTGAGGCCCCACTGAGCTATGTCACTCTTTTTCAGAAGCGACCTGGCCAAAAATCACAGCCGAATGAAGTGTGCTTTTTTCACTTGGAAATTTATCGCAGCCACATTCTCTAAAACGCCCGTTTCCGAAATGTGGAGGAAAACCAGGGGACCCGGAGAAAAATCCATGCGAACTCCAAATATACATCTTGACTTAAAGCTTTCGTGACTGCAGGAATTCATGTTCTTTGGGTATTTCGGTAAAGTCACATAGATAGGTTCAAAGAAAATAACAAAAAACTACGATGTTTCCACCAACACAAGATCGTTATTTTTTCTTCCTGATGACAATTGCTTATGTTGCGATTGAAACGTCGTAGTTATTTTTTCTTATTTTCTTTGAACCGATCTACGTGACTTGACCGAAAGACCCAAAGAATATCCAAATATACAAGCGTCGGTATCGAACCCACAATCTCCTCTTCCAGGCGAGGTAGTTAACATCTCGGCACCGTGGCGTCCTGGCGACGAGCATGTTTGTGCCGGCGCGTCTGGGTCTACTTGGCCTCGACGAGTTACTGGGTGCGTTGTGTAAACATCGCCACTCGGAAGGCAAAGGTGGCCGGGCGTGGTGCTGGCCACACTCGCCCCTTGGTTGTGCCGCAGGGCCGGCCTTCATAGGTGCTGCTTTGTAACAGCTTGCGCCCAAACAGTCTGTTCAGGCTATACAGGAGGTCTTTATCTTCGCAGACGGCTCCAGTTCCTGCAGCCCCCCCAGTGCATTGTAGAAACAATTTCCCCTCCGCTCTTCATGCAACATTAACTGGGTGTAGAGGTGCCATGGCCTGAAGCGTCGGGGGAAAGCAGTACAGCAAGTGGGCTAATCGCCAGCTGTACAGGGGATGGAGCGGTGCCCCCTCGCCCGTACACGGGCTGCCGGGCATCTGTTAAAACGAGCATTATAGCTCGTCAGATTCCTCTAGTATAAATAATCTGTTTCGGTTTTCTCTGCTCTGATTTCTTTCCACGTAATAATTCCCCCCCACCCCCATTTTGTAGCAACAGGACTGGAATCCTCCTGAAGACGAGTCGATGGGGAGGGGTGGTGGTGTGGGGAGACTCTGCTGTGGCTGTCCGGGGTGAACGCAAACCTTTTTTTAATTTGTCCCCCAACTCCGCGCCCAGGTGGAGGAGGGCGGCGGTGGCGTGGTGTACGAGGCGACGGTGGCGGCCGAGCGGGACGTGTGCACGCAGGACGACGTCAAGGTCACCAGGTCCGGCACCTACAGGTTCGAGTCCACGTCCGGCGGGCACGCTGCCGCCACCGTCACGGCATCGCAATCGCTGCTCGACACCACAAGGGGTGTGGTGGTGTGAAAGAAGTTCTGCATACGTGGGTGGTGGTGAACGGTGGTGATGGGGCTTCTTAACTGTGGAAATTTGGGGGGGTGGCTAAGCTGATATCGAACGGATTGAAAACGTTCCCCTTTGGGCACATTGGTAAATCGGTGGCACGACCAATTTGTATTGACGGACAAAGCTGGAAAGATGCGATGGAGCACGATGACTCGGAGCAGCAATGCTTTGCAGGTACTCGAGGATCGACCAAATTAAATGCATGAATGGGAAGAGGATGCGATTGTATTTTGTTTTGAAGAATACATTTGATAAATGAAACAAACGGTTGCGCAGAACGTACACAGATTATTGAACGTCATCGCATGCAATTGTGTCCGTATCGCGAGCATGAAAACCGATTTTATAAATCAATTTTTTTGTATGTGTGACCAGCCTGTTCAGAGATGGGGGGGGGGGGGGGAGGAGGCGTTAGCAGTGGATTGATCATTGCGATTCGTGTTCCCTGCTGAATGCCGCAGCTTCACCCTGCGGTGCCGCTACGTGGGGGTGGTGGAGGGGACGATGCAGTTGGCGGTGCCCACGCCGACTCCTCCGCTCCCCGCCCACGAGAGGGGGGACCTCGGCGTGGAGATGCGCCTCGCCACAGGTGGCGGGAGAGGGGGGGGAATATTCGTGTTTGTGAAAGGAGTCGAATGAGCGAATTAAATGGGTGAAGTAATTTTGTTGTTGCTGAAACGAGGTGATTTTTTAAAAAGTGGGCTGAATGATGGAAAGAAGGTGAATTAACTGAGGGGTGGGGGGGGGGGGTGAACAACTGTTAGAATTGAACAATTCAGTCGTGAATGAATAAACCGTATGAATGATGATTGATTGACGGAAGAAATTAAGTGACTGTTATTTTCAAAGTTAAGTGTTTTTTCACAAAAAAAAATCTAAGCGCATCTCCAGCTACAGGCCATCGGGGATTGTGGGGGGGGGGGGGGGTGATTGAGCTTTGTCTCCATTCTGCGTGTGCACGTTGTCGTCTGCGCGATCTCTCCGCTCTCCTCCCGTCAGACGAGTCGTACTCCGCCTACTATTCGGTCTTCCCCGTCATCAAGGTCCTCCGTGACCCCATCTTCCTGGAGGTTCGGCTCCTCGACCACGCCGACCCGCGCCTCCTCCTCCTCCTCCCCACGTGCTGGGCCACTCCGGGCCCCGACCGTGCCAGCCCCATCCTGTGGCCAATCCTGCAGGACGGGTCAGCGAGCGTAGGGATTGAGAATTACTCGTGCAGGCACTCCTTGGCCATACGCGAAAGATGCGTTCCTGGGGGTAAAGCGCGCGTATCTCAAAATCGCTTGCGTCAAAATGCAAAGTTTTCCGTGAGAAAAATAATGGTGAAGGGGGTCCGAGGATTTCAACGCACACAATCGCTTATTATCCTAGCTTATATCAATGCAATACATGTACGCAAAATAATACTCTGCCCTTTAATTCTTAACCAACCTGTGTTCTCTTGCTACACTACCTTCTCATTAATTATCCCTTCACCACCTTGTGCCCCTTCCCCTCCGGATGTTAGGCATCCGGCCACCCGTGTTCTTGGTTATCTCTTCACGCAAGTTCTCGTACCACACTGACTGCTGGGAACGCCATTTGTGCCAGGCTAGGGGTGGCTTACCTCGTGTTGCGGGTGACGTTGTTCCGAAAATAACCTCGCGTATGTCAAAAGGTCTAAATAAAAAAAGCACGCGTCGTTCCAAAATGGTGTACCACAAGCGTGTAAACCGAGGATTTGCCTGTATTTGTCTAAAGATATCGGATGTATTTCCAGGGGGTGCACGATCCCGTGCACCCCCTGGAAATCTCAATGGCAGTGATTTTGATCAATCGTAACCATACATATTCTATTGGTGTTTATTTTAGTCTCTGCCATAGGAATGTGGGATTTCCATCTCCCGGCTCAGGAACATCACCAGAAGTGTTTGTTCTCAGCAGCAGGATGCAATGGCAGGTTTGGCCAAAGTGGGACCGAATAGAAAGCAGCAGATGGATGGATCGTTGCGTAAATTGCGGACTAATGTACATAACGATGGGGCAATACAGACGCACTTTACCCAACTTGCGCATGGAATTCCCATTTTACATGTTGGATAAAGTTATTTCGTCAAATTTTGGCCAAAAGCTTTGCAGGTGTGTTTTCATCACCGGCAAACATGGCAATTGTGTTTTTTTTGGGTCCGACTTCTTCGGTGAAGATCGGACACTTTGGGAACTCTGCAGTGTTGCGCGTTTTTTGTGACCGGCAGCTTCTGGTGTCCGAAACCTTCCCTGCTGGTGGCTGGCGATATTACGGCCGTTTTGCGAATCGAGTCGAGTCCTAACAATGCCCTCCGTGTCCCTTGCCAGCTGCCCTTTCGACGGAGACAACTACAAGACGGTGGTCCTTGGCGTCGAGGAGACGCCGGAGGTTCCCCTGCCCGGACTTTACAAGCGGTTCGAAGTGAAGACGTTTGTGTTTGTTGTGGGCGCAAGCCCGAACGCCATCTACGACCGGGTGAGCTCCCCCCCCACCTCTCCCCCTGCCCGTCTCCTCCGTTACTTACACTCGCCGATCGGCGCACTGGGTACCGACCACCAGGATGGGACGATTCGATACTATGAGCAGTGATCAGCAGCAAGGCCGATTCTATGTTGAGAAGAGACCACCAGCAATAGAGATGCGATTCTGTAAAAAGTGACCACCGCTTCTGCCGAGCAATCGTTCAGTGCAATTCCTTAAACTGCCATGCCAATGACAAGTGGAGTTGTAAAATAATATAAATATATAATAATATATTTGTATTATTTTATTTCCCTTCTACGTGATTTTACCGAAAGAACCAAGAATATGAATCCCTGCAGTCACGAAAGCTTTAAATAAAAATGTTGTAACCCTTAGTGATGGTACGTGTGGTGGTGGCGATTGACGATCTCCACGGTTGAAGCCTCAACGGGTGTGACGGTATTTGTCGCTGATCTCTGCTCCTAACATCTCCCCCCCCGCCCCCCCTAGGTGTTCTTCCACTGCAGCGCCGTCGTTTGTCGCGACGGAGACGCCAACTGCGTCCCTCCTGCGTGCGTGGCGCGCCGCCAGAGTACGTGCGGGTGTGGTGTCCACTCGCCACACCTGTGGCCTCCTGCCCAAGCGAATCGACTGTGGGGGTGGTCCCCAAGAGATGGCTGTGAAGGCCTCCTGTGTGGCAGAGATTTAGCGTGATACTTGGGGGAGTTTGCCCCCCCCCCCCCCGCCCTGCGTGTCCGCCTTGTGCTAGCGACTCGCTCCGTGACTTGTATGTTCAACTTCTTTTGCACCGTACGTAGCTAATCGTGCTAATCGGAGGTGCGGGGGAAGGACTACAAACTAACACACAAATTATTTTAAATGTAGACTTCTAATTAAATGGTTGTATTATTGGTGGATGGCGCAATTATCATAGGCGGTCTCCTCGTCCGCTTTGCAGTGTATACAGTTCACATGAACGTACACATTTTAGGATGTGTAATTAATGTACAAGACTTTAGTTTTTTTTAAGTGAAAAGAAATGAGAACCCCGAGCAATATCTAATCTGAAAGCGATAAACACTTGCATTGTATTTAAGGCAACTTAATTCAAATCAAGGAATGATCCTAATAAGAGCAGATACCCAGCTTGCATCGTAGATGGGTCCTCGCTAACAGCACTTTCCCCGACATTCTGTTAATGTTATACAGTGGGGAGGGAGAAATCTTTGTTTTTGTATCTATACCATCCCCGTCTGTCACCCCTCCATCCGTCACAGGGAGAGTGTCGGACCCGAGGCCCCGTGACTGGGACGCAGATCTACCCCGGGCCTTGGCGTCTGTGGGCCCCTTGCGGCTCCTGGAGGTTCCGCGTGAGCTGCCGATGCAGTTGAGAGAGACCCGCGGTGAGGACTGTGCTGCTGCTTCGTCATCGTCGTGTGCTTCACCCACCAAAGTCGTCTCCCGGAGTCTAAAAGACAATTTAGTGGGTTTTAGGAGGGGGGCCCCTTTCTGAGTTGGTTGCAGTTGGGGGGTGATATTGCCATGTGTGATCTCTAATTGAGTAATGTGCAGAATATGTCGTCATTGGGATGTTTTGGCCCCAATACCGGCTGCACTCGTGTGTGTGGTTTTGTTTTATGCTATGGGAGGAAACCGGGGAATCCAAAGGGGAGGGGGGGAGAGACCTTTAGAACTTCACATAAAGATGCCCTAGTGGAAATCTAATCCAGGGCCTACACGACCATCAAGCTTAATGTGGGCACACGTTTTACCACTGCCAAACCTACTGGTGTTTTTTTTTTAAATAGGTGCTCTCTAACAACACTTGCCCTAAAAGTCTGCGGACTATATAGGGTGGTGGTGATGTGTGTGTTCGAGGCAATCTCCCTCCATCAAAGACAGAGTGCCTCGCGACTAAAACGCAGCAAGCTGGTGCAGTATGCTGCCCAGGGGGTGGGTCCATCCAGTCAAAACACTCGCTTTTGACACTTAACGTGACCTCAATGTTCACACACCTCGCCTGGCACGGCAAATACTGCGGCGACAACATTGTCACTTGAGAGCGAATTTCGGCTGGGTGTGTGGTGCGCGTGTTTTTGTGCGTTCGTGCGAGGCGCAGCGGCTTTGCTGTGGAGCGACTCGCTCCCTCCCGTCGTGCCGACAGCCCTCTCGGCGCTGGCGCTCGGCACGGCGCTCCTCTGCGGCATCGCCTTCTCGATCTCCGCGTGTCGCCAGCGACTCCAACGCGCGGAGTCGCAGGGACGGAGATCATCGGATGGCTCGGCACTTGATCATTTCACCCTCTAGGGAGGTTTTGGAAACCCAGGCCACCGGCGTGTGGGGTCTCATCCCCACCACACACACACGACTCGACTTCAATAAAACGCACACTGCCCTCGTAGTCCCGTGTGTCCCTGATGCTTGAACTTGAGCTGGAGCTGGGAAGGCCGTTCTGACCTCTACATTGGCGGCGCGACACATGCGTCCTCTTGCATTATTTTGTCCTGCTATTGTCGGAATGTGTGGTGTACTTTTGCACTCTTAGTTGCTGTGTGCCGATTTGAATCTCTACTGCCAAGCCAGCCGAACGGCCTTCTAGAAAACATCCGAGAGGAAAATGAAGCTCCGACAGGACCTCTTTTTTAACTTCGTAATTTTTGACATTTTGCCTAATTTTATTCCAACGGTGGGGGGGGGGGGGGCATGTCGTGATTTAAGTCCTATGCAGTATTCTCCCAAGAGGCGTGCATCCAACCATTGACGGAAACCGCCCCGTCAAATGAGATTTCAGAATTAAAATTAATCGAATCGTCGCTTTAAGTGGCGGGGATCCCCAGTGTGGCGGACAGCGGAACAGTAATTGGACGCTCCGAGTTCTCTTTTATCCACACTCGATGTCTTGTCAGTCACCCGTAACTTTGATTAGCACGGTTGGCTACGTGCGGGAGAAGTTCTACATTTGCATCTTGAACACGTCCCACGAAAAGTTGATCGAACCCAACTTTTTAGGGCTGGAATAGCCGTTGTCAACATCCGTGTTTTTTTAAAGGTTGATAACACGGCTATCACTTGATGGATGCTTTGGGGGAAAAAACATATCCCCTGGCGATTGAGCAGTTTTGAATTTTTATTTCGAATTGCCGTGTGAGCTAAAACTCTGGAATCGTGGATTTTCCGTCACTAATTTTCGGCACTTTCGCCGATTAGATAAGAGTGCGAGGGCAGCCACACATGTAAAACCATTGGGAGTTTCGACAGCACGACGAATGGGGTGGTGGTGGGGGCTGTTTTCACATTTGCGTTGTGTCAGGGGCCTCCAGTGACTCCCGCGGGGCTTGCAATGAAGAAGAATGCGGTCACTCGTATGTTTTTTCGGTAAAGTCACGTAGGTAAAAATAAATAATAAACCTAAGAGTGTGAATCCATGCAGTCACGAAAGGTTCAAGTTCATTTATTTGGTATAGCCCTGTGAGCCATTCGGCTCTTGAATCGGGTGCAACCGCAACAAACAAAAAACATGAACAAAAAACATCTTAAAGTGAATATTCGACTAAGTGCAAACAGAAAATCCAAGAAAAGACGGCAAAATATTGCAGAAAGAACACCGTACACCAACGCTGTGTGCAAAAATCCCAGTGGGATGCAAGTCAAATCTAGAACGAATGCTGTCCACTTGGCCGACTTTAGAAACGTGTCCGGGTTTGCTCTGTGGATAAGCGGTGTGTGTGTGTAGTGGTGGGGGGTGATGAGGCAGCAACAGCCCCGATCCGGGTCTGTTTTGATTTGCGTTGGGAGCCGCCACAACAACAAGCGGCAACGAAGCCACGTGGCGTTTGCCCACGTGGCACTTGTCCACGTGTGCGCGACTGCCCCGACAGCTGATTCACAGCGGTCAGGGCGGCTACGTGTCGAACAAGACGCACTCCGTCGTCTTCGTCGGGACCGGCTGTGATCGATCCACTGCTGGATGAAGGTCTGCATGCAGGAACCAAGGTGGTCACTGCACAATACTTCATCCACTACAGTATTATTATTGTTTTGCTGCTATTAGCCCTGGCTAACAAATACATCCATGAACTCGCAACAAGTTGATACTTGTTTTTTTACCCTTTTATCTGGCAACAAAACTGACACCTTTTTTTACAAGGAGTCATGTTTGCATAGACCACAATACCTGCGGTCGGAATGCAAACAAAATATATAACTCTGATAATGTATGCACTGTCCTTGAAGTTGATTGGTCCACACCCGAGACAGCTTTCCTTAGAGCCTAGTCTCACATGGTGTTGGACCAGATGACGCCAAAAGGCGCACAACTCAAAGACAATGCACCATCAGAGTATGAGAGCATTCTGACTGCAGGTATTGTGGTCTATGCAAACATGACTCCTAAAAAAAGTGTCAGTTTTGTTGCCAGATAAAAGGGTAAAAAAACAATTATCATATTTGCTACTGGCAAATGAGGTTTCCAATGGTCGCAACAAGTTATTGATTATGATGGTACGATTCGATCGTGATCGGAAGCTATGTTTGTTCATGGGTTATGGTCACATGCGCTCTTCACTAAAGGCAGGGGATTGGAACCCAAGGCCCTGTGTACAGGAAACGTCGCTAAAACCTTCACTATATATCCCTGCTCAATTTACAGGATCGTAACGAGCTCGCATACCTGTCAACCCCATTATCAGAGCCTCCCTCATTACAGAGCAATGCAGACGTTATTGGTTGCCCCGTGTCCTTATCTCAACGTTCGTAGTACAATGTCCCATCACAAGGGATTTCCACAAACAATTAAACACATTTTTTTTACCCCAATTGAAAGGGCTGTACGCCGTGTGGACCTAAACTAATGTTTCTTTTCAAGAATACGGGGTAAACCGTATGGGTTGACAGCGATGAACTCAATGGGACCTGTTTTGCCATTATCAAAGGATAACAAATAAAGAATATGTTTTACACTTTCTATCTTGATTTGAAGCTTTCGTGACTGCAGGCATCCATACTCTTTGGTTCTTTCGGTAAAGTCACGTAGGTAGAAAATAAAAATAAATAATAAAACAGCTGTGTTCAGCTGTTAAAACACCAAACAGAAACATTTTGCAAGCAATCATGTTACTGCATTAAGCACGTATACTTGTGGCGAACATGCGAATACAAATAACATGCTCTGATAGTATTTGATGCATTTTCTTTGAAACTGATTAGTCAACAGCAGAGACGACTTTCTTTAGAGGCGAGTCTCAAACAGTGTTAGACCACAAAGACGATGCACTATCAGGACAAGTATGTGGTTAATGCTGACACTATTCCTTACACAAGGTTTTTGTTTGATGTTTTAACATCTTAACACAACTCTTTTATTGCCAGAAAGGGTTAAACCTATTCTGACATTTTGATACTGGCAAGGGAGGGCATGTGATGTAGCTTCTCACCCAGAGCTCTCAAGGTCCTGATCGTGGCATTATCTTTGTGCTGTTCGCCTTTTGGCGTCCTCTGGTCTAACACCGTTTCAGACTCGCCTCGAAAGAAAGCTGTCTCTGGTGTGGACCAATCAGTTTCAAATACAATGCATCATAAACTATCAGAGCATGGGGGCCGTTCATAAATGACGTCACGCGATTTTGGACGATTTTTGACCCCCCCCCCCCCCCATCGTGATTCCTTGCAAAGGGTTTCTGTTTGGTGTTTTAACGTCTTAACACAGCTGATTTATTGCCAGAAAGGGTAAAAAAGCCAATTTCTTTTTTCAAAGATAAAAAATAAAAAAATAAAATAATAAAAAGAAAACATAATAAAATACAATTCTCACTTATTTTATTTCCCTTCTACGTGACTTTACCAAAAGAACCAAGCAGACGAATCCCTGCAGTCACGAAAGCTTTAAATCGAAAAATAAAAATAAAGCTTATGAATTGTTACAAGTGACCAGTGTTGGCCATCACCGCGTGTGAACATCTCATCGCCCGCTATCCACGTTCCGGGGCCCCTCCTCCTCTTCACTGACCACGCCCCCTTTTCACTGACCACGCCCCCTTTTCACTGACCACGCCCCCTTTTCACTGACCACGCCCCCTCCCTACTAACCACGCCCCCTTTTCACTGACCACGCCCCCTCTACTGGCCACGCCCCCTCTACTGACCACGCCCCTTCCAGCACACAGCGACTTCGACATGACGGAGCGGGGCAAAGGTTCGTGTGATGTTTGGTGATAGATCGATTATCTCGAGAACAGCACCGACAAACATTACTTTTGTTCCTCGCTCGCCGTTGTCCGCGTATGTCCACGGAGTCGCCCTGAGTGTGTTTCACGGCCCTTGTCTCTGCGTTAAAATGTGTTTCTTTTTTAATATCGAGGCCGGGGTTTAAGTAGGCCGCAGTCGGCGCCTAGGCCTCGGCCTGGATTTAGACCGGGCAAGCTGCGCCTCGTCCCGGTTGCGCGTCGGTGGCAGCGAAGCCTCCCCCACCCCGACTCCACCGCCTTGGGTGTCTCCTCTTTCACAAACTCGTCGCCTTTGGTTGGAGTTAAAGGGCTACTTGAAATATCTTGACGACTTTTGGTTATCTTTTGATGTGGTTGTTGTTGTTGTTGTTTGACTTGCATCCCACTGGGATTTTTGCACACAGCGTTGGTGTGCGGTGATTTTTTTCTGCAATATTTTGCTGTCTTTTCTTGGATTTTCTGTTTGCACTTCGTCACATATTCACTTTAAGATGTTTTCTTGTTCATGTTTTTGTTTTTTGTTTGTTGCGGTTGCACCCGATTCAAGAGCCGAATGGCTCACAGGGCTATACCTAATAAATGAATTTGAACTTGAGCTGTGACGAGTTGAGATGAAACGGTCTCGCGTTAATGTTTTGATAACGTTTAGATTAAAGCGTGGTGTCAAAAGTGACATTAAGTAGTTTTAAGTGGTTCTGTTTAATGACAGTCCCTCCTATCATTGTGAACAAGTTATTTCGTGAATGAGGGCAGGCGGCCAACACTTAAATAACTCTCTTCGGTCACAGCACCTAAGCCACGTTCATTATTTTAATAGTTGAAGAGGGGCCATTGCCTCTAAACGTCGCCTAGTAAAATCTATGTTCAGGCAGCGCGTTGAGTTTGTGTGTACGAGTTGTGCGAGTTCACAGACAGACGGCTATGGGAGTTTGCTTGAACATTTGCTTTGCGGCGTGAAACGTCGACGAGTTTCATAGCGCACACTGCGAATTTACCTCTCATGCACCATCCACACGTGACCATCATCCACACGTGACCATCCACACTTCACCGTCCACACGAACACGTGACCACCCACACGTGACCATCCACACTGCATCCACACGTGACCACCCACACGTGACCATCCACACTTCAGTCACACTTCACCATCCACACTTCACCATCCACACGTGACCACCCACACGTGACCCATCCACACTTCACCATCCGCACGTGACCATCCGCACGTGACCACCCGCACGTGACCGTCCACACTTCACCATCTGCACGTGACCATACAAGCGTGCAGGAGGCCGGCCTTCATCGACCACTGCCTGTGAATGATCACACACACGCAGTGTACATAATACAGGTTTCTGTTGTTGGGTTAGATCGCGTAAATAAATAAATGTGTCGTTAAACCCGCCACCACCCGACACGGCCAACTTAGTAAGATTTGTCACGTAAACAGAATGTGCCAATTCGTCACTAGTACAGCAATACCACCCGGTGGGTTGGAGAGCGAAGCCACAACATTTACAATCTGAGTACGACGTCTCATCAGTAATCGCAACCAGCTTCATCAGGCGACAGCCAGAAAAAAAACACGGTGTACTCCGATAATATGGGTAAGCTCAGATGTGTCCAAACACTCGCGCCGTTCACCGCGATGCCCGACGTTTTGCTCCGCATGGCTTTGAGCTTCGACTGGAGGAGTAACATTCCCATTGCGTGTGTGGCACTCCTTTCAAGGCGTCACGGGAGGCGTGGAGCAGATGCTGGACACGGAGAACCAGCGTGCAACAGAAGTCCTCTCCAGCAAAGTGTCTCGCCTCAAGTCGGTACGCGGTGCCCCATCACAGCTGATTGAGTTCAGAATCTGAATATTTAGTGATACTGGAGGAATCCGATGAGCCATAAAAGCTCTTTTTCACAGATGTCAGGGTAGGGGCACGGGGTCAGAACTTTTATCACCACAAACAATGGAGAAAAAACAATATGGTTGCAAAGCATATGGAAGGTAAACAAATTACTAAAAAATAGATACAAATACAACTTTTTTTTATCTTATCAGGTAAAGCCCACTGAGCTATTAGGTTTTTTTAGGATTAGAACTGGGACGATTGGCCCATGAAGTCGATTGATTAACAAGAAAATATAATCGGCTGAATTTTTGTGGTCGATTTCACGGCCCCCTTTAAAAATGGTATCTGCTCCGGCTTTCCTGCCTTCCGAAGGCAGTGAACCCTCCTACAAGCCGATCTCGGCGTGACGTGGCAGATTATGCCGAAGACGTCAACGAGCTTTGTTGATCATATTCCGTGGGGAAAAAACTTACCGTTTTGCAACTGTTTTTGTGCAGTTGGATTACTTGAGCAATCGATTATTTATATAATGACATATCCCAGCTCTACAACATGGATTAGGGCATCGCAAGACTGCAGGGATGGTGACGACGTGGGGAGGAATTCGCCCTAAATGTGGCCTGGTCATGGATAATTATGTTGAGTGTGTACATACTATATAAGGTTGGTATTGTGAAAAGCATTAACGTTTGGGTTCACATAAAAATGCTGCTTTCACTTGACTGCAACAAATGACCGCTGGACGGTTCCATAATTTGGAGATGCATTGCACACACTTTAAATGTGTGGATAAGCTTCATCATGTATCGACCAGTTAGGACTGTCAATTTGAGAATGAATGTGCTGTGTTCACCTTTCATAATACTGTGGTGTATGGACATACATGGATGAACTGACTTTTTTTTATCCCCACTTGGATGGTATGGATCATTAAGTTATTCTGTGTGTCAAATAATTTATCCCATAAATAACCCACAATTTATAGAACGATTACCTTCAAGGTGATACCCCCGTATGCATTATTAGGATGCTTTGAACATTTTTACTGATTTTATCTTAATTCGTGGAAGTGCTCTTGTGTGTGTGTTTGTCTTTGAACTGGTCTTGTTTTATGCAGTTTGCTTTGGAAATTGACAAAGAAACAGAGGAGCACAATCAGTACCTGGATGGAATGGTGAGTTTAAATGAGTTCACTATTGTCCATGGAATAGTAATTGCCATCATTGCTTTCTCACCGTTAATGTAATACAGGGTTGTAAAATAGGAGATGGAGTGATGAGATCATCTCACGTGCAGGTGCCACGTGAATTGTGGCTTCACATTCATATTCTTAGGTTTTTTCGGTAAAGTCACGTAGGTAAAAAATTAAAATTAATAAAAGTAAAATAAAAAAAATAGAAAAAAATCACGACGTTTCGGAGGCAACACAAGCTTCCGTCTTCAGGTGGAACCGTCACAGCACGATAGCTGTAGCTTCACAGTTCGATTCATTAACAAGATGGCGATGGCTTTGAGAAGGCCTTCATCTAGCAGTTGATTAGTCATGGCTGATGATGTCGATGATGAATGTTTTCAATGGAGGGAGAGAAAAAAAAAACACTCAACTCGGAGCAAACCTAAGCGTGCTGGCTTATTGCCTTTCGTAATAATTTAACTGGCTTTATGAAAAGCCCCCTGCTGGAGAGGTATGTGGTGAGTAGGCGTGTGAGGCTCGGGGTCGGGCGGCAGGGCGAGTGAGTGCGAGGGTTGATGCGGGGTCGTGACCCCATGAGCACGGGGTCACATTTCATCCACGACACGGAGGTCACGGGGGGGGGGGGGGGGGTAGCTGCCATTGGGACGGGGTCTGTCTGTCGTGTGACAAACGTGCCAAGGTCAGTCTCCTGAAAGTTCTGCTTGTGTTTTTTTTTTCAAGTCCAGCACATTTGAGCGTTTTATGGACCTGTTTGTGATCCATCAATCCTTTCGTCCATTGCGCAAGGTCACTGGCGTGTGCCCGTCATCCCTGACTCTCAATATAAGGACTTTTTATTAAGCTCTTATTGTTTGCTTCATTTTCTCATACTGGAAAATGTGATAACCCACATATATGTTTTAAAATAACTCGCGCGTATCTTAATTGGAATGCCTTAAAATCACTTTAGACATCCCGTGACACATGATGTCATGTGGCCAACCGGCACGTATTCGTTTTATTATTTCCAACAGGCAACCTCTCAGTTGCAAGTCCAGTGTGTGAACTGTTACACCACGGCAGCGTCTGTGCTTTAATCAGTTAAATCTAGACATCTGTGTAAAAAGAGCTTCATAGCTCATGGGATTTCTCCCGGATAAATATTCTGATTCTGAAATGCCACCTTGTGGACTAAAAGCGTGATTCGGACTCGCCTGACTTTGCTCGATTGACGCCCGCGACGTGCCTCGTGCCTGCCCCAGGACAGCGAGTTCATGAGCGTCACGGGGCTGCTGTCGGGCAGCGTGAAGCGCTTCTCGTCGATGGTGCGCTCCGGCCGCGACAACCGCCGCCTCATGTGCTACCTCGTGGCGGGGCTCGTGCTCTCCTTCCTCGTCCTCTACTACCTGGTCTGGCGCGTCCGCACGTGATCTCGTTCATCGCCGCCGCCGCCCGTGGAGCGACCTCCTCCCTTTGGACGCACAGCTGCCCACTGCCGCAAAAGAATTTCCAAATTTTATTCGAAAAATCTAATGCATGGGTTGGGGGGGGGGGGTGGAACCTTTCCCTGACACGAGGACCAAGTTGCACTCTCGGTAACCGTTGACGCGTCTCGCGCGTATTTACGATAACGCCCCTCGGCCACTTCTGTAACTGCAGGAAGTTGTTTTTTTTCAAAATTGATTAAGTGTGCTGAAATAAAAAAAAGTGTTTTACGGTCAAATACGTCCCAGCAGCTAAGGTACTTGCGGTGATATGTGAACGGGCACACTCAAATTTCTAAACACAGTATCGCCAGGTCGCAAATATTCCCCTCCAGTTCCCAGTTAGCGTGGCTGCGATGCTTCCTTTGGCAGGAATGATTGATCACGCTGAACTTAGAAACACAGTCATATCCAGTCGAAAATATTCACCACCAGTGTCCGATGAGTGCAGCGGCTAAGTTGCCTGTAAGTGACTGACGTTCTTTGTTGGCCGTTTAAATGTGGAGAGGCGGCCTCACCTTTGGCCGCGGGCCGCATGAAATTAAGTTGTGGGCCACATTCCCCCCGTGGTCCATGGCTTCTCCACCCCTTGCTGTGACACCTCTCGCAAGTCTTACCGAATGTTTGACCTGCTGGGTTATCGAGTAAAATGTCAAGTTTTTTTTGCGTGAATGATTTTTGTGGGTAAATGTATATTTCGGGGGTTGGATGGTTGTTACACTTTGTGACTTTCTTGTGCCCAAATCTAATCACATGCACTTTACAGTCTTGGGGCGTGGTTTTCATTGTATTGTATGTCTATCAAAACAATAGGGTATTTTTTTTTCCTTTGCACTTGCGGTCCCTGGGTGGATTAGTTCAAGTATCGGGAGTTTTGACCAAAATGATTTTAGCTGTCGCACATCTTTACCCAGGCGGAGTTTGTGACGCACGGTCATTGGGCGAGTGTGTGTAGGGGTGGATGGGAATCTGCGCGCTCGTATCCCCAGCCACGCTACACGCACCAACTTTTTAATTCAACAAGTGAGATGCTTTAGGTGGCCGGGTGGCTCGGAGGTCAAAGCACTAAGCCGGCCCCCCGCCGTGCGATCCTCGATTCAAATCACGGTGTCAGCCGCCCGTGATTAAACCGGATACTTAAGCGCAATGAGTTGATGGTCTCGGCTCGATCACTAATGACTGCACTCAAAAATAAACCCCCATCACATGAAATGTTTTGGTTTTCATTTAATTCATCAAATTTGTAGCTGTTGAGAATTAATAAAAATGTATCGGATTGATTTTCCGCGCGCCAGACATTTCTGTGCAGCGGGGCTTGTGGTAAAGTGCTCCCCCTGGTGTGCAGATAAAAAAAATGACTTTATTATTTCAGAAGTGGTCCTACGACGTCAACTTTGACATTTAACATTGGGCGATGCGCAGCTTTTCCAAGAGTTCCCAATGGACTCCACCTCTGCCGACGTGACGACGTTGTCACACTTGGAATAAAACTGGGAAGAGACCAAAAACAATTGCGCACGAGACGTTTTGACTGCAGTAAGGATTTTGTAGTGTACTGCGTCATCGTGGTTCTAATACGACAACAACGTAATTTGGCGAACTTGGTTTTTTTTATTTGCTCGAAATGTCATGCCGATTAAACTGGCTGGTTGCCGCGAGCTTCATTGTTAGTGTGACGAGTTCATATGAAGTTAATCTGTTGCACATCGAATAGATTTTAGGCGATTGAAAAATTATGGTGGTGAGTTCTATACTGTTGCTGGTGGGTTTTTTTGTCATTTCCTTATGACTGAAAGTGAAATAAATTCATTTGTATTGCAGCTATTGTTTAGAGATTGCCTTGTCGTCAAATATTGCATTTAAGTGACAAAGAAATGTTTCCATTAACCCAGCCCATACAAAAGTCTTCCAGGCTTAAATGGCCCTCCACAAACATGTGAATGGTTGACGTGTGTAATGATTCACCTCGACCCCACTCCCACTCCCTGCCACAGGAATTCAATGATTTGTCACAAATTGGGGTTACGATTCCATCTCTTTCATTCAGTTGTGTACGTTTTGACTGCACATGACAGCCCTTTGTGAATCCACGGCTCTATGAAGCCCCCTCCCCATGCAGTGTCAGTAGTGGAGGTGATTTGACCATTCTTCACCACGCTGGTCAGTGCGGCTTTGCCGATCGGCCGTGTTACAATACCAGTTAAGGTAACGCCCCTCCACCGATGCGAGCCGTCGCTCGGAATCAAACTGAAGTTGCTGGTTTCGTAGCGCAGTCGGACAAGCACAGCGTCACTTCACCCCTGTCGGCATCGGTGGTGGCGGTGACGGCGCATACGGTAATTTTAATTGTTGGGACCGCTTCAAACGTGGCACTTTTCTCAAGTGTTTTCTCCGTTTCGGCGCCGGTGTGTGTCCGTCGCCGGCAGCAAGCCGCGGTTAAAGAGTTTGGGGGATTACGAACCCGGCACTGAACAAAGCGGCATGGAGCGGATGAAATGTGAAAGGGCTACGACGTCGGGTACCGCGCGTGGGACTGGACATGCGCGGCTTAATGTGCGTGCAAGGTAACAGTTGAGCTGGCCTCTCTCTTCTCGGTTTAAACGTGATGGTGGTGGTGGTGGTAGTGGGTTTTTTTTTTGCACACCCCTCCACCAAACAAAGCCACCGCCTCGTATAAAGAGCCGTCGGTCAAAGGTTAGGCTTGCTTACATCAAAGGGGTATAAATAAGACGTGAGCTGGTGGGACAAGGAAATAAAGGCGGACGAAATGGAGATTATGAGTCTCAGTGCGTGGCCAGGGCCCCGCATTCCAGACGACTTTAATTTATTCCCGAGGGCAATAAGGAAGGCGCGACGCGGGGCCCTTTGAGAGATGCTTTGAGAATTTTTTTTATTTAAAAATTCGTAACGTATGTACACAATACATTAATATTGCAGTTTAAATATACATCTTGGCTACGATAATCTGCTTTTGCACAAAACACGCGCTTGGTTTTGTTATATATATCTTTTTTTTTTCTTTCTAATTGCAGTACTGGACGTTTTCTTTTTTTAAAGTGGTGTCTGTTGCGAAGATCTTTCGGTCACAGTTAAGTAGATCTTGCGAATGCGGGCTTCGTGTAGTCAAGCATTGCTACAGATTAGGGCAAAAGGTGCAAGAGTCTTCATGGGTGAGAGGTGGGGAGGTGTGAAGGAAAACCGTCTCTTCCACTTTAAAAACTTTCGTTATTTTTTCTTCACCACAAAAGTAACAGCTTCCTCCGTACTTGGACAGCGATGCACTTTACCTTGCGGCGTCTGCGCGTCGCTCCGAGGTTTGCGCTGTGGGATCGGGGGGGGGGGGGGGGCAGCGCAGCGGCCGGAGCGTGCAGCCACTTGTGAGCAATGTCCCTCGGTGGCGCGCGTGTCGCGCCCCGCCAATCGTTGCGTTGAGAGACCCCCCTCTGCCATCACACCACCACCACCTCCTACCCCCCCCCCCCACAAGATGTCTTGCGAGTGCAGCGTCTCTCGTAAGTTGCCTCGCATCTCAACTTTGCTTCGGAGGCACGAAGCGCTCGTCTGTAAGTGCGCAGAGAGCGACGGGGGGACGCTGACCCGTCCCCGCCGCTCGGACTCGCCAAAATCATTGTGGCCGTCGAACCGCGCGCCATTCCTGGCAAAGCCCTGCATGCGTGCGGTCGTTCCGTCGGTGGCTCCAGACCGAACTCATCCCTCGCCGTGCCCCATCTTCGTTCGTCGTCGTCGTCGTCGTTTTCGCCCGCGATCGTCACTTGGACCAGGCGCTCGCGGCGGCGGCCGCCTCGCCGCTGATGTACGCGAATCCCGGGAAGTGCTGCCCGGGGTCGTAGTCGGAGGCGCGTCGAGCCATGCCGAGCGGCGCGAACATGTCCGAGGTCGGCGGCGCGGGCAGCGGGGCCACCGCACCGCCAGCGCTGTAACGCTGGACGTGCGCGTGGTGGTGGTGGTGGTGTCCGTGGTTGTGGTGATTGTGGTGGTGGTGCGCGGCTGCGGAGGACGACGAAGGGGAGACGGAGGAGGGAGACACGGAGGAGGCGGGACTCCCGTAGCAGGCGCCGCCGACCAGAGCGTGGCCGCCGCTGCCCCCGCCGCCCCCCGTGCCGTCGCCCCAGCGCGGGGTCACGGAGCCGGTGCCGGCGGAGGAGCCCAGGAGGCACGGCTCGAGACGGCCGGACTGCCGGCTGAATGGGTACTGCGGTAGGAGAGAGGGGAGGGGCGACGGTCCACCTCGGATTAGTACGGTTGGGTTACGTACGGTGCGAAAGAAAATCAACGGACGTAAATACAACCAACAGGGTTTACGCATCGACAGAGATGAGGCTGATTCACGTCGAGACTTTCAGAAACGGATGCGCGTGGGGTCACGCGCACGTGCACAGAGACACAAAGATCCTCCGAATAGCAGAGACACTTACACATTCCATGGGTCATAGGAGAAAACCACAACCCCCCCCACAGCCCTGGCCTCTTAATGGTGTTTTAGGCCTTGATCAGAGCAATAATGCAGAGATGTAGGTCCTTTGATATTCCATACGGCTCTGCTGTAGCAGACGGACAGAGAATATCGCATCTGTGCAGAACTGCCCCGGCCTGAAACTACAATGGGCGTCTGCGAGTTTCTCAATGTGCCTGGCATGATGATGATGTTGAATAATCCTTGCCAGGACTTTTCCTGGCACGCTGATGAGGGAGATTTCCCCCCGTCAGCGTACACGGTTGGCTACGTACGGTGCGAAAGAAGTTCAACATACATATTTGTTACAATCAGTGCGCCCTCCACCCCCGGCCCCTTAAAGAGCTTTAGAAGGGGGGATGATCAATAGGACACCTTTCCAATCCAGCAGAAGCCATGCTTCGTCTCGAGGCAGTTGATATGATGGGCATGCAGTGCGGGGGCCCGGCAGAGGTTTTGCTATGCTCGCGTCAGCGTTTCGCTAGGAAAGAAAATCCCTACCTGGCACTTTACCTGGCCTCAGGCTCTGTATTGCTGCTCTGCATTGCTCCATCCTTCTGCAGATACCCGTACCCGGCCGGGTACGGGTAGCCGTTTGCGACCCTGGTGCGGCCGGGTACGGGTACGGGTAGGCCGTGAGTCACTGGTGAGTCACCGTTTGTCACTCATTTCGGGTAGGGTACGGGTAGGGAACGGGTAGGGAACGGGTACTCGTATCCGGCCGGGTACGGGTACGAGTACCCGTTAGCGACCCTGGTGTGGCCGGTACGGGTAAGGAATCAAAACCCGTTTGCGACCTCTGATCTTAACCAGATGGAGCACCTCGTCAAGGTGCCTGCGTTGGTCTCAACTTGGCGCCCAGTGCAGCCGTTTGCAGCTGCACGAGTCGCAGGCCTGAACCGCAGCGTTGCCCCCCTCGCTGTCAGAACCAGGGGAGATGGATGCCATGTCCGGCTGCAAGCGACGATCACATTCTTGCTTGCAACGTCCTTCAGCTAGCTCAGGCCTGGCTGGATATGCGGGGGTTTCAATGTGGTCCTCTGTGGAGGATGCCGAGCACCCCACCCCCACGCCCACAGTCAAAGAATGACAAGGGCATCATCATACGCTTACGGATGATACACGCAGAGAAAGATCCCCCGTGTAGCCTTCACCAGGCTATCCGGGCAAGTGCTGTTAGCGAGCACCTATGAAGGCCGGCACGGCACACGAGGGGGTGGGTGGTCAGCACCACGCCCGGCCGCCTTTGTCTCACCAGTAGCGATGTTTACACCGCATCAGGTAATCATTTGAGGCTGAGTCAACATAGGGGAGCCCCAGGGCCAGTTCAGATAATCATCATTTGCATTGGCCGTGAGCGCAAATCGAACTCGGGTCGCTGGGTTCGTAGCCGAGCGTGTTAACTGCTGTGCCACCGCTCACCACACGCACACACACACCCACACACACTCACACACCCCCACACACACGCACACACACCCCCGAACCCCCGCGCGCACGCACACCAGTGACAATTTTAATAAGCGGAGAACAATACTTGGCTTCTGCCTTTAAAAAAATATCGTACGGTTCCCACAAATTCCTGCAGTGATCTCAGAAGTAACTAAAAAAAAATCAAATTATATTTCAGCGCACGATAGTTACCCCAGCTCTGTACACACAGGTCACGCCGTGTCGTGCGAGAGTGGCGAGCGGAGGATGAGCTGGCAGTGAGTGAGTGTGGATGAGTGAGTGGATGAGTGAGTGGGTGGATGAGTGAGTGAGTGGATGAGTGAGTGGATGAGTGAGTGATTGGATGAGTAAGTGAGTGAGTGGATGAGTGAGTGAATGAGTGATTCAGTGGATGAGTGATTCAGTGGATGAGTGAGTGAGTGGATGAGTGAGTGAGTGGATGAGTGAGTGAGTGGATGTGTGAGTGAGTGGATGAGTGAGTGAGTGGATGAGTGAGTGGATGAGTGAGTAGATGAGTGAGTGGATGAGTAAGTGAGTGAGTGGATGAGTGAGTGAGTGGATGAGTGAGTGTATGAGTGAGTGGATGAGTGAGTGAGTGGATGAGTGAGTGGATGAGTGAGTGGATGATTCAGTGAGTGGATAAGTGAGTGAGTGGATGATTGTTTTTTGACGGCGAGTGTTCGTGGGTAGCGGCGGTGCAGCGGTTTGCGCGATGCGCCTTCGAGCCTGGCCACACCAGAGTTCCATTCCCGTTCACGGGTCACCAACACCGGTGACGATAATCTTAACCGGTCCTGGGCCTCACCTAAGTCGACTCAGCCTCAAATGAGCACCCGGTGCCGTGTGTAAAGAACCCCACTGGGGAGACGAAGATGGTCAGGCGTGGTCCTGACCACCCACTCCCCCACCCCGTGTACCACTTCAGCTTTCATCGGTGCTACTCGCTAACAGCACACGTGCCCCAAGAGCCCCTCAAGGCTATACGGGGGATCTTTGTCTTTGGTGTGGCCCGCCACTCGGCGAGCCCAGCTGTGGCCTCGATGTATCGCGGGGGACCCCCCCCCCCCAAGCGTTTGTCCCCGTGGTGGTGTTTTAGAGACAAAGCGGCTTTCACCGAGCGAGCGGCGCTATTTATACACACGGGGGACATGGGGGGGGGTGGGGGCACGGGGGTGGTGGGGGGGGCACCGAGGGGATACAGCAGGGAGAGCCGGTCGCTACCGCTGCTCGTCCACTATCGCTAACTGCTCGCTCACTACTCGCTCGCTCACTCGCCCGCTCACTAGCCCGCCGTGTTCCACTCCGGCTGCATGCGTGTGGCGAGCCGTGAGACCAGCTCCTTGCCTTGTAGCCACGCGCCTGGGTTGCGTCCTGGGCCGTTCGGCACGAGGGCAAAGCAGCTTCGTCGATGGGAAGAGAGACGCGGTGACGCGTTGTCGTGATTGCACCTTTGTGACGTCACTGCTATGGCATTGGAGCCCCGATAATGCTGTGGGGGGGGGGGAGGTGGAGGGCGGGGTGTCGTGTTGAAATGTTGGTGGCATCGTGAAGATGGCCTTGGTGGTGGTGGCGGTGGTGGGACGGGATGGCCAGCAAAACTAAACTAAAACTAACATTTCATTTTCCCAGGTAAGGCCGGCTGAGCTTGTAGCTCTTTTGCAGAAGCGAGCTGGCCACAGACGATCGCCCAACAAAAAGTGGCTTATCACGTGGAGATTTACAGCAGCCGAATACTCACAAATACATGTTTCTAAATGTGGAGGGAGAAATCTAAGGACCCTGCGAAAAATCCACGCGACCACGGGGAGAGAGACACTCAAACTCCAAATATACAGGGATCAGGGTCTGGATCGAACCCACGACCTTCTGTATACCAGGCGAGGTAGTGAACATCTCGCCGCCGCGGCGACCCCGAAACGTCGGACGTCGCGCCCAACGACGCGCGGCGCGATCCGGATAGACACCAGAGAGCCGTACGGCACAACCACGAAGAACCTAAGTGATAGTCGCGCACACGCAGCTCGGGTTTGAAACAAACATCGTAAGAACAATAATAATTTCGATTTAAAGCTTTCGTGACTGCAGGGATTCATCTTATTGGTTCTTTCGGTAAAGTCATGTAGAAGGGAAATAATACAATAATAAAAATAAAACATAATAAAATAATTCTCACGACGTTTCGGCCACAACGCAAGCAGCCGTCCTCAGGTGAAGAACAGGTCTGTCGGAAAGACAGCGTCTGAATGACAGACCTGTTCTTCACCTGAGGACGGCTGCTTGCGTTGTGGCCGAAACGTCGTGAGAATTATTTTATTATGTTTTATTTTTATTATTTCCCTTCTACGTGACTTTACCGAAAGAACCAAGAAGAACAATAATAATGATAGCAGTATACCCGCGCACCGCGGGAGCCAAGTTTCGCTTTTGAGAGATGCAGAGTTAAATCGCAAAGAGCGGCGCCCCGCGGCTTCTCACAAAGGAAGGAGCCGCAGTGCGCGGCGTCTACTGCGCTCGCTCGCTTGCTCGCTCGCCCCGAGTCATCCCACCGACCCGGCGGGGAGAAAGCGAGCGAGCGAGAGGAGGAGGAGGAAGAATACAAATTCGATAAAAACCCCTAAGCAAAAAAATATATATAACGGCGAAACAAAATAAGATGCGTCCCATGTCACGGAGAGTCAGAGGGCACGCCGCTTCCCCTGCGCTATTTTCTGCACTAAGTAGAAGGGGACGGCTGTTATTTCTTTTTTTTTCCCCTCCACCCGGATAGCGTGGGCCCCCATGCTGCCCGAGGCACAGGCCGCCAGTGTCATCGGCACCGCCGGCGCCGCCTCCGTCCGTCCGTCCGTCCCTGCGTCCACCGTGACCCCGAGCACAGCTGTGCGCGCCTCAGAGCCGCCCTTGTGCGGAGCTGAGAGGAGAGAGAGGGGCCCAGTTTCCGGAGACGGCGCTCGCCACCGACGCTCACCGCTGCCGATGTTCACCACTTGACGCTGGCCGCAGCGAGTTTATTTTTTTCGGTATTCTTTTTTTGGCGCTAGATAATGCGATGGCTTCATTTAGAGGGGGGGGGGGGGGGGGCGGGGCGGTCGTGTTTTAAATTGTCAAATAATGCCGTGGTCTTTCTTATTTGTTCCGAGAGAACGATGGTGGGAAATAATGCAAGATACAATTTTTTTCATGTCCTTGTTGATACGGGGGTGGGATGAGTACAATTTTTTGTTTGGTGGGAATTAAATGTTAGAGGGCAATAGTCGAGTGTCACTTCCACCCACCCGTGTTGTCAAAGAATGGGGCCCAAACATCGTGGGAAATGTCGCTCGTCGTTTTGGTCGATTCCGTATCGAGGCATCGAGCCGAAAGATACGCGGCGATTCAAAGTGGTCCACAACGTGGCTTGATAAATGATGAAGCCCTCACCATCGTCATCATCAGAATTTTCAGTTGCATCAACAGGCAGCAGCAGCGGCGACTGCATCATCATCAGCAGCACCATTATAATTTTCATCATCATCATCATCATCGACATCAGAAGTAGCAACAGGAAGCCAGCAATGTCATCACCAGCATCAGCATCATTAGCAGCAGCAGGTTGCGCTCCATAAACCATCACGACAGTCACCAGACACCAACACCAACATCATCAGCGTCGTCAGCGTCAGCTTCATCATTTTTAGAACCAGCAACGGCAGGTTCCACCGCATAAACCACAATCAGCACCACCACCACCCCTACTACGCCTACTACTCCTACCACCACCACCACCCCTACTACTCCTACCACCACCACTCCTTCTACTCCTACCACCACCACCACCCCTACTACTCCTACCACCACCACCATGACTACCACCAAAATCATCATCACCACCCCCCACCATCACCAACCTCAATAATCACCACCACCAGAGCCATCATCGCCACCCACACCAGAACCATCACCACCACCACAAAAACCAACACAAGCCGACGCTCCAGCACAAATGAAATTAACCTCAAGGTGGAAAAGCCCCGAGCGGCCGTGAGACAAGAGACAGCGTCGCAGAGGCGGGCGGCCCGGCGCGACGCGGCCGCGCGGCCTCACAAAGAGCGCCGCCATCTTCACGTCGCGAGGGCCGCGACCCTCAGTGCCCCCCACGGGGGGAGGGGGAGGATGGGGGGGGGGCATCACCACGCACGGTGAATTCTGCCCTTTCAGCCACAGCCAAGGAACCCCCCTACCACCACTCTCACCCCACCCACCCCACCACACCATTCTCACCCCACCACTCTCACCCCACCACACCCCACACACCCCACCACACCACACCCACCCCACCACACCCACCCACCACTCCCACCACATCACTCTCACCCCACCACACCACACCCACCCCACCACTCTCACCCCACCACTCCCACCACACCACTCTCACCCCACCACTCTCACCCCACCACTCTCACTCCACCCCACCATTCTCACACCACCCCACCACTTTCACACCATCCCACCACTCTCACTCGACCCCACCACTCTCACCCCACCACACCACACCCCACCCCACCACACCCCACCCACCCCACCATACCACTCTCACCCCACCACTCTCACCCCACCACACCACACCCCACCCATCCCACCACCCCACTCTCACCCCACCCCACCACTCTCACACCACCCCACCACTTTCACACCATCCCACCACTCTCACTCCACCCCACCACTCTCACCCCACCACACCACACCCCACCCCACCACACCCCACCCACCCCACCATACCACTCTCACCCCACCCCACCACTCTCACCACACCACACCCCACCCACCCCACCACACCACTCTCACCCAACCCCACCACTCTCACCCCACCCCACCCCACCACCCCACCACTCTCACCCCACCACTCTCACCCCACCCCACCACACCACCCCCCCTCCTTCCTCCCCCACCCTTCACACCCTCGGGCAGTGAACAGCGCAATGGGGAGATGAGTTGTGGGCCAGATCGCCGTGGGCAGAAGTGGAACTACAAACAACAACATCGACGACGAGGAGGAGGAGGAGCAGGAGGAGGATGATGATGGTGGTGTTCGGTTTCGAGGAGCGGATGAGAAACGTGGAAGAGGACCGGCGGGGTTGAAAGAGGAGAGGAACAGGAGGAGAGGAGAGGAAGGGGAGGATGAGAGATGGGGGAGCAGAACGTTTGCCAGGCGGAGGAGAAGGAGGATGTCGATGACGAACCACAGATATCCACCTTGACGATTTCACCAAGGGGCGATCTCGGGTCATCCCTCAACAGCAGCGGCGTTTGTCTGGGCCATCGACTGAAGGCGGTCATCGCGTCGCGCGCTTTCAGAAGCGCTTCTGCGACCGTCTGGAAAGCTCTCCCGATGTTAGAAAGCCAATGGGGAGCTCTGCACTTTTAAATCTGGAATGATATCTCGTTTCTTTGGAACTGCGTATTGTGTTTAGTTTGTTGTCCTTCCCCCCCCCCGCACCTCCGATGAGCACGGGTTGGCTAAGTACGGTGGAAAAGAAGTTCAGCGCAAGCACGTGGTGCTTGCTGCTGCTGCTGCTGCCTATTCTGCGTCACTTCGCAAGCGAAGCTTTCAGCCGCTGTCAGTCACTCGTGGGGCCTGTGTCAATGAGGTGGGAGAGAGGGAGGGGATAGAAGCAGAGGAAGGAATGAGGAGGAGGGAAGGAGGATGGCATGGGAGGAGGAAAGAGGAGGAGAGGGGGGGGGGTCCCTTATTTACTGCTGTAATTCTCACTTACAATGTCGCCATTCAGTGATCTTGGCCGCTCGCAGCGGGGGGGGCACAAAAAAAAGTGCGATAAAAACGCGCCCCCTGTTTCAGCTGGGAAAACATTTTGCCTCGCACGGGAAGTCGGAGAGAAAGCGCGGACTGTGTGCGTGCCATACAGATACACCACTAGTCACACAGATGCACTAGTTATACAGATACACCACTAGTCATACAAATACACTAGTCATACAGATGCACTAGTTATACAGATACACCACTAGTCATACACATGCACCACTAGTCATACAGATACACTAGTTATACAGATACACCACTAGTCATACAGATACACTAGTTATACAGATACACCACTAGTCATACAGATACACCACTAGTTATACAGATACACCACTAGTCATACAGATACACCACTAGTTATACAGATACACCACTAGTTATACAGATACACTTCACAGATAGACACTATACAGACACTTATCATACACAGACGAGATAAACATTATACTGATACTCTATCCAGCTACGATACACTGACGATACAGATCCTCCTTATACAGATACCCACTCTGCAGACGCTATACACTTTCTAGATCCTCTGCAGAAACCATACAGACACTATACACTATATTGACACTCACTATCCAGACACTCACCATACACAGCCTCACTATAAAGACAGCTCCTTTCAAAATGCCATTTCCCAACGCCACCCGGGTTGTGCTCACGGCGTCGTGGCGCGAGATGGGGTAGCAACGTACTGCAGTGCAAACCTCCGCGTGTCGGAGAACAGCCCGCGGAAGCGGACATCACAGAGCTACCGTGCGAGGCTCTTTCTTAAAGTGACATCTTCTTCTTGGTTCTTTCGGTAAAGTCACGTAGAATGGAAATAATAAAATAATAAAAATAAAACATTAAATAATTCTCACGACGTTATTATGTTTTATTTTTATTATTTTATTATTTCCATTCTACGTGACTTTACCGAAATAACCAAGAAGATGAATCCCTGCAGTCACGAAAGCTTTAAATCGAAATTTAAAGTGACCTCTTGTCCAATCTGGATTTGAAGTTTTCGTGACTGCAGGGATCCATACTCTTTGGTTCTTTCGGTAAAGTCGCGTAGGTATAAAATAAAATAAATTAAATCACGACGTTTCGATTGCAACACAAGCAATCGTCATCGGGTAGAAAAACCACAGCAAGAACTTTTTTTTGGGGGCTGTGGAAAACCACCTCTTGTCCATCACGGAAGACGCCACGGAGAGTAACGCCCGCCTCGTGAGAGTCGGCGGCGAATTTGCATTCACATTTTACGATAATTCATTCGGCACAAATTTGAGCACGGAGCCAAATTTCCCGTCACGGGGCTTCCCGCAGTAATCTCACGACCAGTTCGCCGGGTTCACCAACCGGGCCGACACCTCGAGAGCCCGGCTGAGTCACGGGCGGCCTGCCGGGTTCGAACTCACGAATAATCCCAGCGGGCTCTCGGCAAAGTGACCGCTGGGCCGCCCGGCCACCTCCACGCGAAGACACTCGCCGAAGTCGGAGCCGGCCCCTGGGGGTAATGTGCGAATCGGGGGCGACTGCCCCGGGCCCCGCGCTTTGGGGGTCCCCGCGCTTCGACGTAAAACGTGTTGTCTATATTTATTTAAAGTTGCGCATTTTGATGTGACGTCACGTTTCTCAAATACCCCCCCCCCTCGTCACACATCGTCACAAATGTCTGACCCCCCCCCTTCCCCAGGTGCGTGACGTCATTCATGGACGGCCCCTGTGTGAGTGCGTGTGTGTGTGTCATCTCAGTCAGTCGACCCGTGGCACCTGCTGGGTCTGCCCCGTGACCTCCTGCCAGCGGGCGTTCGACACTTCACGTGGCCTCAAGGTGCACATGGCCTGGCACAAGCGTCGTGGTGACGTCACCGCCACTTAGCGGCGAATGTCGGTTGTTGTTGTTGTTGTGCATCACCTGCGGCGCTGAGCGGCGGTGGTGGTGGTGGTAGGCGGCCGTCGGGTAGTGCAGCTGCGCCAGCACGGGCTGCTCGTGCGACACAGCGTGGTAGGAGGTCACGGCGGGCCCGGCGGAGCCGTGGTGAGGGGCTGCCGGGTGAGGGTGAGCGTGGGGGTGGTGAGCGTGGGGGTGCTGAGCGGGGACCGCCGGCGCGTAGCTCGTGTAGTTGTAGCTGCCCGTGTAGCTGCTGTTCGGGTGATGAGCGGCGGGGGGGTGGAGAGAGACACGTGGAGGGACGGGGAGATGCGGAGAGAGACATGGGGAGAGACACGGGGAGAGAGGCACGGGGAGAGAGACACGGAGAGAGAGGCACGGGGAGAGAAACACGGAGAGAGAGGCACGGGGGGGAGAGACACGGAGAGAGAGGCACGGGGAGAGAGACACGGGGAGAGAGGCACGGGGAAAGACACGGGGAGAGAGACATGGGGAGAGACACGGGGAGAGAGACACGGGGAGAGACACGGGGAGAGACGTGGAGGGAGACACGGGGAGAGACACACGGGGAGAGACGGGGGAGCGAGAAGGAGACTAGGGAGGAGAGAGACACGGGGAGAGAGACACGGGAGAGAGACGTGGAGAGAGACACGGGGAGAGACACACGGGGAGAGACGGGGAGAGAGACATAGGGAGAGACACGGGGAGAGAGATGAGGAAAAAGGCAGAGAATGAGGAGAGATTTAGAGAGACGTGGGGAGAAAGAAACATGGAAAGACAGCGAGAGAGAGAGAGAGAGCGAGAGGCAAACAGAGACACAGAGAAAGATACACACAGAGAGACGGAGAGCGATAACACGGTTAACACACTGCGCGATCGGTATCGCGAGACAAACACATTCACATTGGGATGGAGGCCCAGGACCGGTTCAGATAATCGTCACCGGTGTTGGCCGTGAGCGGGAATACGAACCCGGGTCGCCAGGTTCGTAGCGCAGCGCACTGACCGCTACACCACCGCTCCCCACTCAACACACACAGACACACACAGACACAAAGATCCTCCGCATAGCCTTAACAGACTGTAGGGGCAAGTGCTGTTAGCGAGCACCTATGAAGGCCGGCACGGCACACGAGGGGGTGAGTGGCCAACACCACGCCCGGCCGCCTTTGTCTCCCTAGTAACAATGTTTGCACATCGCACCAGGTACTCATTTGAGGCTGAGTCGATCTAGGGGAGGCCCGGGACCGGTTCAGATAATTGTCACTGGAGTTGGCCATGAGCGGGAATCGAACCCGGGTCGCCAGGTTCATAGCGCAGCGCGCTAACCACTACACGTACACACACGCGTACAAAACATCCCCGGCAAATGCCGGCGACAAGGTGGAACCCTCCGCGACACCGAGGAGAGGGCTCTTCACACGGCGGCTTTTGGCTCGCCGTCGAAACAAACAAAACAAAACGGCACATCACCACATCGCGTGCTGGTGGATGCGCTTCTACGGCCGGTTGGCACGGCCTTCCCTTCCGATATCGGGAAGCCGCTGGGAGCTGTGCGCTCTGAAATGTAGACCGAAAACTCGCGTCTTTAAAACTGCCCGTCGTTGCGTTCAGTTGGTTGTGCTCCCCCCCCGCCCGCGCGCCTCCGATGAGCACGCTTGGCTACGTACGGCGCGAAATAAGTTCAACGTGCGTACAATTCGTAGCCCTCCGAGCTGGAATATATATTATAATTACGGCCTTGTTTGATAGCAAGGCCGGTGTCTTCGGTGAGGAATGTCCAAGCCAGGGAGTGCGCGATAACGTTTGGGTCTGGAATTGAGGCGTCCATTCTGGACGTCCGCATTTTTCCACTCCGTTCACCATCAGCGCTCTTCTGGATCTGGGTGGGATTCTAGGATGGTGACAGCAGCAGCAGCTGCAGCGGCGGCTGCGGGACGCGATCCCAGAAAGGGGGATCGGGATTTGGGTCGGTGGTGGCGAGGTTCATTGTTGAGGTCTCGTTTTCAGCGTTATCACCTCGCAAATGCGGGTTCTCCAGTTTGCTTCCGCAAAAACGAACAATCATTACTGGACTTGGCCAAACATCCCAAATGGGGAAT